CCTGACAATTTCGATGCATAGTTAGTTTGTCTTTGCTTCATGCCATGGAATACTCAAAAAATTGGTTCGGCTGTTCATATAAAATGAAATAATTTTTATCATTTAATGTTCAAAATAGACTAAAAATAAATAAAAAGACTAAATATGGATTAAAATGAAGTGAAACTTTTAAATTATATCTTTCTATTAGGTGTATGTAAAACAATTTATTACATAATAAATTGTTAAATTACACTTTAAATTGCTTTATGTTTATTTAAATGCAAATGCTTTTGAAACTTATTAAACATACAATTTGTGTATAGAAATAATGAAGAAATACTTGTTTTACCAAGAGTAATTTAGAATAAGTTATCATTCAATCTGATTTTTTAATTATTAAATAATAGACTATTTCAAGCAATCTAAATTAACTTATCCTCTATTTGATATCTAGCTGATAAATAGTAGTTTTATCTTTACTAATTCTCGAAAATATTGATACTGAATAAAAATTAGGATTTTTCTTAGATTGTAATAATTGTATTATTATTTTAGTTAGAAATATTAAGTACTTTAATTATAATATGGTTTTTAAATAATATTAAATATTATTAATTTGTTTTATCTGAGCTTTGATTAGAGTTATTGTGTGGAAAAAAAAAAACACCTGATTTAAAACAAAATATTTATTATTTTTAAAATAAACTATTATGGATTTTTTTTTAATAATAGGTTTTTATTTCTAGAAGTATCAATTGAATAATCATTGACGCACAACACAATCCCATGAAAAGTTTAAGTAAGCAAAAAAAAAAAAAAAATCATACCAGTCTGGAGATTATATAGTTTCAGATGAGGGACAACGTATATATAAAAAAAAGCTGGTTTCCTGTGAAAAAAGCTGGAAACATGCATCTTGGGTAAATCCCCTACAATATTTTAAAATTTAGTTTTATTTGATGGGTTTCATTAAAATAAAATAATTTGTGAAAAATCAGATCATTTAAAAGAAATTAAAAAATCCTGTCTGCACAGAAGACAACTTGAAAAACGCTTTACGCCGCTTTTGAGAAAGCAAGTTTTGCAAGAGAAAGTATCACCCATTCATTCCTGATTAAAGATTTTAATATTATATCGAATCCTAAAGGCAATAAGACATCATGTTATTAATTAACAATAGTACGCATACCAGTAAAGTGTTTAATTAATATACCTAAAAAACTATGGTATAAGATATAAAAATTGCAGATATAAATGGTATTGTGTCTTTTAAGCTGAGCATATCTTACAATGCATCAGGTTCACCGTATTTTTCTAAACACAGCCTAAAAATATATGCTGTTAGTAATTTAAGAATTTTTTAATAATTAAAAAGTCAATGTTCAAGTTTTTGTGAATCAACTGCAAAAACAATTCATAGCAGAGAATTTACAGTTTTTCTTATCTAATCTTAAGATCTGACCCATGAATAATAGTAACTGACAATTAAAACATAACAATCAATCATAAACAATAAAATATCTAAGTAAAATAGCTAAATCTTTTTTCACCCTCTATTAAAAATCGTAAGAGCAGCTGTTTTGAGTGTACAACTTAATGCTACATTTTTGTTCGTTGCGAAAAAACTAAAAGAATTAGAAATTACGAATGTGCGTAGAAAAAAAGTACTGGAAAACAATGAAATAAAAATTAGAATTTGATAATTATCTAGAGGATTATTAACTGTTAAACTTGTAGGGAAAAAAAAGCAACATACAAGTCTCTCTACAGGTCGCAGGAATGCACCTATAGAATTAAAATTTTGGCATGCTGAAAGGTTATTGTTTATGAACTTAGCAAAAATTTTTTTTTTTTTATAAATTCCAATTTGTTTGAAAGTTATTAAAATTTCAATTGCTTTTTTTCTTTTTTTTGCAAATTTATTTTAACTTTATTTAGCTTTACAGTTGTGTTTGCTGCACACCATCTATAAGACTAATAAACTTGAAATTATGAAGGCAATTAAAAGGCAACTAAAATTAAATTATTAGTTTAAGAATTATCAACTGCTTAACTGTATAGCCGTCTTTAAACAGTCAACCCAATTGTGGGTTTACGACTACTAATGTTCAACTCCGTAGTCTTGTAATTTTGAACCTAATACAGAAGACAAGACATTTTCTGGATCAAGAATTGGGAGAAATTTGCCTTTGTGGAAGACTTTTTGATGGAACTAACCAGCATTTGCTTTACATGGAGAGGAAGACCACGAAAACCTCCCACGGTTAGTCAGACGGCTAGGGGACTCTGACAAGTGATCCGTCTACCACTGATGATATTTTACATCCGCACTGTTGTCGGTGCAAGCTAAATGCAGAATTCGTATCGACCGGCCGTCAATGGGATTCGAACCTGGTTCACCTCATTGGAAGGCGAACGCTCTATCCCTTGAGCCATCACGGCTCTTGTTTCAGGAATTGTGAAATTAATGTTTGATTCCTTAAAATTCAACTTGAACAAATTAAATGGAAATTGATAATTTTTTTATTATTTCTAATGCTCTAAAAATTCCAGTTTTCTGTAAATAATAAAAACTTAAGTGTATATTTTTGTGTTTTTATATATGTCTAAAAAGTATTTTAAATAATTTTATGATTGATTCCAGACTAATATTGCTGCCTTGTTTAGTGCGTAAGTTTTAAGAGATCTATCTGACACAAAATTTTGTAAAGAGCAGAATTTCTTCAGGTTTCAAAATTTGTGTTATGAAGGTATTTTACAGCTTTTCAATTACCTAAAGTAGGTTTGGTCATAATAACGTCACTTATTATACCTAGTATAACAGACATTAGTACAAAGTCATTTTAAAATTTTCTGTGTCACTTTATTTTTGTGTTATTTGTACATTAAACCCAAAATATGAATGCAGTGTACTAAAAAAATAAACAAAACAAAAAAATTCATATTTTAATAGATACTCTGTTCAATTAAGTGATATTGAAAAATAATAAATCTCAAATATTATTTAAATATAATTTCTTTTTATTTAGAGCAGTGTTTCCCAAAGTGTGGTACGCGTACCCCCAGGGGTACGGGAACAGTTTAGCGGGGGTACGTGTTCTTATGTGCAACAAACGAAAATTTCAGAGAATTTTATTTAAAAACAAAGCTAGCCATGAAAATTTACGATTACGTATTTTTCTATTGGTTATTTTTTGCAGAGTCAACAGTTAATAACTAGTAGTGTCAACAGGCAGTAGTGATTTTCAACTTTTGTGCAATTTTTTTTATAGTAAAAGTTTGTAATAAATTCTTATTTTTATAAAATAAAATTTTTATCCTTCTTGAAAAATAAACATGAGGAGTGTTTTTTAATATCATTCTGGCTGCAAATGCAAAATATGTATCCAGTTTTAACAGAAAAAGTTTAGAAATATATTTTGCCTTTTCCTACTTCATATTTGTGTGAAGTCGCTTTTTCAGCTTTCGTGGACATTAATTCGAAAAAGAAATAGATTATTGTACGTGGAATCACATCTCAGACTAAAATTGACCACAAGAGAACCAAATTATGATGAACTGCTATCACAGCAAAAACAATATCATCCTTCTCACTGATGCAAATAAACTTATTAACAAAATTTTATACCAAAAAATAAAAATAAACATATTTTTAAAAAAATACATTAATTTTTTTATTAGTGGTACACAGCATTACGAAAAATTTAGAAGGGGTACACAATAGTCATAAGTTTGGGAAACACAGATTTAGAGTAACCAAAGAATTTTTTTTTGTTTCCTTAAATTACGCCCAGTTGACTTTATTTACTAAATTTTAAGGTTGTACTGTCTGTATTGAATATTTCAACGAAATTTCGTGTAAAAGGTTAAAAAAAAAAAAAAACAACAGCTCTGAAATTTGCTTTTTCTAGTTCTGTAGTAGCAAATAGACTTGTGGGAAAGAGGACTTATCAACAATGTCAACCTTCATCTATCTAAAGGTACCTCATGATAGAATTGAGTTAATGCGTCTTATAAAATAGAGCATTGGAATAGATTATTGTAGTGGTAGTTACACTACATAACTCCCCCACCAGAATTTAATGTGGGACTGAATTTGACGAATGGATATCACTGGTTGATTCATTGTCATTTTATTAAAGACTGGGAGAGCTGAATTAAGTTCACTGGATTTTAAGTGCTGGTTGTGAGAGCTGTATGAAGTTCACGATCGTGTACATGGTTGCTCCTGTGTTGCTATTACCAGTTGTGTGTGATCAAGACTGAGTAGCAACAGAGCGAGGAGAACAATGTTGCGGTCACAAATACCAAGTCAACTGTTCAATGTGTACCATCCATTGAAGTAGGCATGTTTAAATCGAAGTGAACATTACTGTCAAGATAGGCGTGTTCAGGTCACGTCCGAATGTCACCAATGTGGGGAAGAGGAGTTATCTACAATGTCAAACTTAATTTACCTTAAGATAGAATCGAGTAAACATGTCGTATATACTAGTGAATTGGAATAGATTACTGTATTGGCAGTTATAGATTGTTGTATTGTATTGGTAGTAGGCGAGATTTTTTTTGGTCAGATAGACAATAACTATTTTTTGAATAAAAAGTTTATATGTTAATCTATCAAAAAATGTTGATGATGTTCATGGTATAGACTATAGCTCTATGTTCAACTACTAGACAGTAAAGAGTGTTCTTGACATTTATAATTTAACCTATCAAAAAATGCAGACAAAAATATTCTTGTAATTGTATTTTCAATTGCAGGGTTGTAAAGAATGTTTTTAACATAATCAAACAAGAAATCGTTTTGGTGTCACCAAGGCAGCAAAATTTGTAATGATATCCAAACCTTTTAACAAATAAATGATATATTTTTAAAATAAATGCAATTTGAAATAGGTTTCTTTCACAAATAATGTATGAAAATCGTAATAAGTGTAAGCAATTAATGTTTTTTTAATCTTTTTTCTTAAATAGAAAATTTCCTCCATTGAAACCATGAAGAAATTACACTGGAATGGATTAAAAATGATTAATGATGTATTTCATCAGGTCACAATTACTTTTTTGACCAAATGTTAAATGAACAATAAAAGAAAATTAATTTATAAAACTTTCAATATTGATCGTTTTATTAGAATTAAATGCTCAGATAAATTTGTAGAAAAATTATATATTTGATAACATAGCTCTAATTTGATAATAATTTATACTTTAAGTACAGCTTTCACATCTAAAACATTTTTATAAGGCTCTAGTAGAGGATAAACTTCTTCTTCAAGGAACTCAGTAACCTATTTAAAAAAAAAAAAGAAATACATTTATGAACATTTTATTATACAACCACAAAATAGTTTAAAAAAAAAAAAAAAAAAAAAAAAAAAAAAAAACAGGTCTATAAAAAATTTTTTTTTACAGATCTTTTAATTGCTGAACGGAATTTAATTAAATTCATGTGACGATTTAATAACAATCGCAGAAACAAATAATTAAAGGATAATTTTTAATTTAACTTTCGGACTTAAAACAAAATAAATTATTAGCAGTGATAAGGGACTTCAAGAAATGTAAAAAAAAAAAGGTATAACATTGCTATTTTTAAAACATCACTAGAAATGTAAAATTTTGAAAAATTTGAAACTGGGAGAATGTTAACAATTCCAAAAAACAATGCACACAGCTACAAAATACCACACAGCCACAACTAACAGAAAATATGATGTGAGTGCTAAAAATTTATTTCAAAACTTAATATACAAATTCTTAAATAGGGAATAAAAAAAAAACTATTACTTTTTTAAAGAAATCAGAAGAAAAACACCCATTATAGATCATGCTTAACTTGATCAAGATATATAGATCAACTATACCTCGAAAAAATTTTTTTAATAATATCTGCTCTGAGTTCAGTTTTGTTAAACTATGCTTGTTACATTACAGCATCAATTGCAGGGGGGGGGGGGGACAAGAANGGGGGGGGGGGGGGCACAAGAACAATATTGAAGGGGAAAAAAGTAAAATCTTAAAAAACACATCCATTAATACCAATAAAAATTCATGATCATTCTTACATAATATCGGTTTATGTTAATACAAAATTTTAATAAACCTACATATTAATATACCTCAAAATCAAGCTTTTGAGTTTAAATATTTTTAAACATTATAAAGAATTGAAAGCAAAAGATTTATTTACATAAATTACTAAATTTTGAAGAAAAAATAAATAAAAGCCATTAGATTAAAAAAATGAATTAAAATTTTCATTAAAGTAATATTGCATCTTAAAAACATTATTCATACATACGTAACAAAAAATAATTTTTTTTCGTAGTTTTAATCTTGTGTTGGAATTTAATATATATATATATGATGAAAAAATTCGATAAAAAGGTATTAAATGTCCTAAAATGTTAATTTTTACTGATTTTGAACTCTTTTTTAGGTTTTCAGCAAAACGTTACATTTTAGAATATTCCCATAGTTTTTAAGTTAATTTAATGTTCCCTGAGTTCTTCACTTTTTCCTTGAGGCATATGAACCTTGTTATGAAACACCATTGTTTAGTTTAAGGTTTATTTCTAGAAATACAATTTCTAAAGAGATGTAATTAATAATAATGAGGAAAAACTTGAAATTATAAGCCTGACAAACATACAAAAAAAAAAAAAAAAANAAAAAAAAAAAAAAAAAAAAAAAAAAAAAAAAAAAAAAAAAAAAAAAAACTTATAAACTTGTAACAAATTTTTTTTTTAAATCACTTTAAAAATTTGCTGTTTAATTAATCAAGTATACAAAATAAATAATAAAAATTAAGAAATTTTCTTGCAGAACTATAAATTAGCAAATTGAGTTCCTCTAAGTTCATAGTTGAGTTTGCAAATATGGTTACTACATTAGTGTAGTTTTAAAAATTAAGCACTAAAAATTAAAAATAAATCTTTTTACTGCTAAAATCTAAAAATAACAGCATTGAACACGAGGTTAATAATCCTAAAAAACCAACATCATCTCATGCAATGTTTCAGAAACTTTTTTATAATCACAATTCTTTTGTTTAAAAGTTGCTATTATTTGAATTACAATGAAAGCCAAATTACAATAAAGGAACCTAGTTAAAAATCAAGAGAATGACAAATAAATTAAATTTTAAAAAAATAGAGTTTTTAATACAAAAATAAATAGGGACAAATGCTAAAACTTTATGCTTTGTAATTTTATCCCAAAATGACTTCCAGCAATTGTTTTCCCTTAAAGGCTATATTTTCATACAACAGAAATATTTAACATTAACTTCATAAAAAAATGACTTGCACTTATTACAGTATTACGTTCTTGAGTCTTGTTACCTAAAAAATATGCAATTTTAAAATTTAAAAAATTCAATAAAATAAAAATTTTAAAAACTATGGTTGTAAAAAGAGCAAATAAAAAGAAAATAATTTTATTTTTAGAACATCAAACTAGTTCAGATCAGTTTTAGTGTATCATTTGACATGAGAACAGTGTTTGGTGGTGTTAAAAGTTAATTAAAACTAAAAAAGTCATGCACCCTACATTCATTATTTGTCTTAATGCAAGGAATGTGCATTTCTTTCTATAAACCTTCAAGAAAAACACGATGATACACACAAGAACTACATAAAACATATACAGAATTGCCACTCAAACCGGGAAAAAAAATTTCCTGTACATATTATACATAATATATTAAGAGAAAAAACACAATCACTGGATTCTTGTATGAGCTGTACTGGGATAATTACACTAGCTATAATTGCTGAAAAAACTTAAGGAAAAAAGGAACAGCTGAACATACTTAAAACAAATAATGCTATAGTAAATTAACTAGTTTAATATACAGGGTATGTGCTACATTTTAGATTTTCAAATTCATGACTTCCCATGACTAATTCCAAGAGTTTTTAATGACTTAACGAAGTTACTATTTTCGTCAACAAAAACACAAAAATAAATTTAAAAAAGCATTATAATGACATTAATTGAAATGATAGGTATAAAAAAAACTGCTATACTCTGCATCTTCATGTTTATAGATTTTAAATTTAAAAAATAGAGTAAAGAAAGAGTTGAAGCAATAAAATAGCTTGAAAAAAATACAAAGCCAATTAATTATTTATTTTTTTCTGCAGAATTATATTCGAAAGATACTTTTTTTGCTCATCCGAAAGAAAAGAAATGCTCCTGATTTTTCTGTTCTCATTTCTGAATTTAAAAAAATTCGCCAATGACTGGATTGCTTCAGCTAGAATTTTAAATTGATAAAATAAAAAAATAATTATAATAATTCTGAAATCACAGAAGTTTAAAAGATAATTTGCTCTAGAAAGGTTTTTCTTTCATTTTTTGAAAGAACATCATAATTTTTAAAGAACATGATAAAAACATTTTATAGTGTAATAAAATATGACTGTGAGTGGGGATTTTGTTACGAATTCAGATATTCAGAAGAACAAAAAATTGGAGTGGGCAATTCCATTTTAAAAAGAAAATTTTTCGGCGACCAAAATCCATGACATTCCATGATTTTTTTTAAAAAATAGTTGAAATGATGACATTTCATAAAAAATTTTGTTCAATACCAAAATTCATGACTTTCCAGGTGCGCGGATACCCTGAATATAACTGAAATATCATCCTTAAATATTCCATAGATTGCACTTAGTGTGGTCACCATTTATAAAAGACGAAAATAGCAGACAAAATCCCCTGTATTTTCCTAGTTTCTAAAGAAAAACTCAAAATTCCCTGCATTTTCTCTGTTATTTTAGGTGATATTTAAATTCCCTGTATTTTTCAGGCTTTCCCTGTGGAGTGGCAACCCAGATATACAAATTACATGCAATAATAAAAGCTAAATCATTATCATACCTGTTCAGGAGCTCTACCAACAAAAGTTTTTGGGTCCAAGAGATCATCTAATTGACTTCTGACTGGAGCAAAGAATTCGCTTGATCGGATCCGCTGAACTAAATCATTATCACCTCCTTCCATTTTAACAACTTCGGCTGCTTGCTGAGAAAGGACTCTTATCTCTTCATGGCAAATCTTGAAAATATCAACAAATTAATAAATTTATCAAAATTAAAATGTAATTAAAATTGAAATAACCGTCATTGAACAGTTGACACAATTTTTGGGTTTATGACTATTAATGTTCACCCTTGTAGCCTTTTTATTTTGAACTCATTCCAGAAGACAAGGTCAAGTGTAGGGAGAAATTTGTCTTCCTGGAAGACTTTTTGATGGAACTAACCCGCATTTGAGTTACATAAAAAGGAAGACCAAGAAAACCTTCCATGGTTAACCTGACATGTTTTCATGTGATATAAGAGCCTTCCAGAAACATTTGTTGATTATTGAAGGCTCGAACCCTAAAAGTTAGTTTGAATGCACCATAAAGAAGGGGAGGACACTAACACTGGGCGGAGTTACTACACACTAATAATTTGCATTTGGTATTGTGTAATTTTATACTCTTGCACTTTTTGATTGATAAATTGAGGCAAGTATATTCTTGTGAATCCTCAGTTACCTAACAAAAAATGCTATAAATTCATCTAGTAATCAATAAATTATACTTTAAAAAAAATTACAATATACATCTAAAATAAAAAATTGAATAAATTATGCAAGACAGGAATTATGCAAGAAAGTTAGTTCGCTGCTGCCTAGGTCACTAAATACGTAATTACGAATATAAAAATCAAAATGCCTATTCAGATCATTTATAAAAATTTTCATAAACAGAGAAATAGAGCCGTGATGGCTCAGGGGATAGAGCGTTCACCTTCCAATGAGGTGAACCGGATTCTAATCCAGCAATGGCTGGTCGATACGAATCTGCATGTAGCTTGCACCGATCACAGTGCTGACGCGAAATATCCTCAGTCCTCAGTGTTAGACAGATCATGGGTTAAAGTCCCTTTGCCGTCAAGTTAACCGTGGGATGTCTTCCACTTCATGTAACGAAAAGGCGGGTTAATTCCATCAAAAAGTCCTTAACGAAAGCAAATTTCTCCCAATACTTGATCCAGGAGTTCCCTTGTCTTCTGGATTGGGTTCAAAATAACAAAGCTATGAAGTTGAACATTACTAGTCGTAAACCCAAAAATTGGCATCGGTTGTTCAACGATGGTTACAAAAACAAAATTAAAAAATAAAAACTTTGCTGATGAATTGAGAAAGATAGAAAACTTAGCAACAGATGCTGCTGAAATGAACTTAACCTCCCAGTCACCCCTACCTTAAATGGTCGGGAAACGACCTTGTCGAGCGCATTTGAGGTTATCTATTTCATGGTCGGGAGAAGACCTCATCGTACGCATTTGAAACCATCGTTGTACTATTAGAAATAATGCTCATAATCTCATGTATCTTGGTAAATCGCAATATCTGATGCGACGAAAAATTGGTAATCCAAACATTGGATCGGCAATGATTACATAACATCGATATTTTCCGATGTATCGCCTAGACCTACTGTACACATTTACAAAACCACCAGTTTTTAAAATTAAAACATACTAACTTGTCTGTCTTTCCCAGCTTTCACCATGGCCATAAGAATGTTCTCTGTAGCCATAAAAGGTAGTTCTTCTCTGATATGTCTCTCAATAACTTTAGGGTAGACAACAAGGCCATCAAACACGTTTTGAAGGGTATTTAAAAACACATCTGCTGCTAAAAAGCTCTCTGGTAATGTGATACGCCTAAATAACAAAATTTAATGTAAGTATATCAACAAATTTTCTTCAGAATGGCATAAAAAAAGTGCATCAGATGATGAAATGAGGGTTGCCACAGAAAAAAAATGAACAAAATAGTTGCCTTTAGTAGCCTAAAGCACAAAAATAGTTGCCAAAAACTATGAAAATAGTTGACTAAATAAGAACAAAATTTTTTTAATAATAAGACTAAAATTTTATTATATAACTTAATTGTCATATACCTTGATCCACTTAGACAAGTTGGTAGAAAATACCATAATTTTTATATAAACGTTAGTGTTCTAGAACTAAATTTTTAAATCAAAAAAATTAGTATATTTGCAGAAAATGAAATACTTTTAATTTCTAGAATTTATTCAAAAAATACTTTTTCATTAAAAAACATACTTTTTTAAAAAAAATTTCCCTTTTATCAATAATTGATATAGTACAGCATTTTGTACAAAATATTTTACACATAGGGAATTTTAGGGATTTTTATAGACTTTAAAATAAAAGAACTGCAAAATTTTTCCAGTTATGATTAACATTAAAACAACTTGAAATGTTATGTATTATGTTTAGTCTTAAATTTGAATAGTAATAGGCATTTAATTCATCAAAGATAGTTAATTGAATCTTATAAAAGAGACTCGCTTTATTAAGTATTAATGACACTTATTTAAATATTCAAACAAGCACCTGCACAAGGATTCCATTTCAATTGCAATTTTTAAACAAAACTTACTCAGTATTAGGGAATTTTCTAAAATATACAAAAACCAGGAGAATTTTTATTAAACCAGTAGAGCAGGACAGGGTGCGTAGTCAAATTTTTCAACAAAAAATAAGCACCTTTTAGGTACTCAAAAAATATTTTTAAGCACTTTAAAAAAATATAATTAGGCAGAGTTGACAAATTTTTGACAATTAGCGACTTTATCTGTCATGTAAAAAAAAAAAAAACTTTTAACATAGTTCTTGGCAATTGTCAAAAACGCTAAATTTTGGCATAAGGATAATTATTACCTATTATAAATATGAAGTATTTTTAAATTATCATTTCAAAACTAATTGAATCCTGAAATTGAGAATCTCTTGCAAAATGCTGCAGAGTTGCACATGAGAGGGCAAAAATCCTTCCCACTGAATCCAGCTCAGCATACACACACGTGGATCCGCAAGTATTTCATCAAACATGTAAAACAAATGGCGTTTTTATAAGCCACAGACCGACGAAATAGATTGGAGTTGAATTTATTTTGAAAACGTTGTATAGAACAATGTTATTTTGCATAATTGGTGGCGAATATAAATATGGTAAAGAAAAAATCTCATTTTGGAAAAGGAAAAATAAAGCACATTTTAAAAACACCCTATGAAAAAAGCACCTTTAAGGGTTTGCAAAAAACGAAAATTGAAAATAAGCACTTTTTAAAAGTGCTACGCACCCTGCAGGAGGAACTGGCAAAATCCAGTAGCGTCGGCAGCAGTACGTTTGTATTTTTAAAAAATGACATGTCCTGAACATACATAGAAATCAGGAATATCTAAACAAATTTCTAAAAATCAGGGCAAAATGTGATTTAAAAAAAAGAAAGAAGAAAATACCTATTAGCACTGTCATCCAAAGTCCGTTCCATCATTTGATTTTGTGCTGTCATGAGGGCAATGAAAAGATCCCCCATTGGAAGCCTGGCTAAGGAACACACACGCTCACAGCGCATAGGATTCCGTTTGTATGCCATCGCACTTGAGCCTATTTGCGTCTTTTCAAAGGGTTCTTCAATCTCCTTTCGACTTGCCAATAATCGAATGTCTAAACAAATCTGCAATAAAATGAAAATAAATTAAAAATAAATTACTGCACAGCTTCTTTTTTTTTTAGTTGCTAAACTATGAAAATGAAATATTAGGTCAGTAGTTAGTAGTAAATTACTGACGTAGTAAATTACAGTAGTAGTTAGTTATCAGTAAATATTAGGTTTTTTTTGCATTTTAAATCCTCAGACGGAAATTATAAATTACAGGAAATTATAACTGTTATTGTTTGTCATTTATTTTTCTTTGCATTTACATTTCATTATGGGGCCTCAGGAAACTGCCAATTTTTGGTTTAACCGCCGACAACAGAAAAGCTCTCGTGTGTTAGCAGGCAGTAAGTCCCTTGATGGAGTGCTGTCCTGGTAAAACACATATCTTAAAATTATATAATTTTTGTTTTCTGCTAGAATTGTTTTTCTGACTTTATAAATTAAAATGAAACAAATTTGGATTTAGCTGCTTTAAGCACTCTTCTATTTTGTTTTTTTTATTTCAAATGTTACTTACTTATTTTATCTGTTTCTGAATTTGTAAATTAGTTTCATTCTTTGATTAAATAAAAAATAAAGTAAGTCATCCCCCCTTTTATTTAAAAAAATGTAACATATGATATAATTAATTTTGTTCAACTAACATAAAGTTCTACTAGATTTATGTTTTATTAGATAATATGTTTGTTAACTATTGCCAACAGGGAAATATTTTTATTACCTTACTAACAGTTGCTGCTAAGCTAGCTAAACTAAAGACTACAAAGCAATCAATCTTTCTGCTGTATGTTTGTCCAGTCACAGTATAGGCCCTACAACATAGAGAAATAAAATAAGTGTTGTAAAAATTATAACAGTGTGCACACATAAAGTAATAAAAACATTTACAATACCTTTTAAAACCAGCCATTTCTGTCACTAACTTATCGAGTTCTTTAACCTTAAAAAAGTAAATGATGAAATTAGCCTAAATTATATATAAGTACGGAAAATAATTACAGTCTTAATGAATAATAAACTGTGTGAAATTTACAGTTAATAATAATTTAATTACTATTAAAAAATAATTTTATTCTATTAATTTATTATTTATGAATTTATGGTTAATATTTTTTAAGGTATAGTCACCATGAATGAATGATATTTAAAAAAAAAAAATTACTAAACCAATATTTCAGACACCAAATCTTTATCTCTTAATATTAAAATTACAAAGATATCGAACGGTATTAAAATTATTTTCATACTTCAAGTAGAGATTAGAAATTGTCCATTAGTTAATGTGATTGAATTTCAAATTGTGCAAATAAAATTAAGAATGATATTTTATTAGTTTATACATAAAAGTGTTACCATATTTTTCATAGGTTTAATACAACAGTAGTCAAATTAAAGATTAAAATATTTATAGTTATATTTTAACAAACAAAATTCTTATCCACAGAGATAGAATTTTAAGGCAAATATTATTACTGCACTTAGTATATGAATGTTTAAAAATTTAATGTTGTCAGCAGAAAAAGTAAAGCACTTCCACAATGTCTGGATAATGAGCCGTGGAGCTCAGAGGATAGAGCGCTCGCCAATGAGATCAACTGGGTTCGAATCCTGGCACCGACTGATAGATTTGAATTCCACACGCACCTCGCACCAACCACAGTGCTGATCTCAAATATCCTCAGTGGTAGACGGATCGTGGGTTATAGTGTCCTTGCCGATAGGCTAACCGTAGGTTTTCGTAGTGTTCCTCTCCATGTAACGCAAATGTGGTTTAGTTCCATCAAAAAGTCCTCCACAAAGGCAAATATCTCCTAATATATTATCCAGGAGTTTCCTTGTCTTCTGGATTGGGTTCAAAATTACAAGCTTACAGAGATGAACATTGGTAGCCGTAAACCCAAAATTGGGTTGGCTGTTCAACGACAGTTATAAAATTTTTCTTAAATTAAATGTCTGGATAATCAGTACCCCACTGTTAAATGCTTAGAACTAAAAAGTAATTAGTAAAAATAATGCCTTACTTTTTCATGATTACCTTCAAACACTGCAAGAAAGCTGGCTTGAGTTCCTGTAGTGCCTTTTACACCTCTGAATCGAAGATCATCACGAACTCTCTGAATGTTAATAAGATCTGCCACAAGATCAGAAATCCAAAGGGAAGCCCTTTTTCCAACAGTCGTAAGTTGTGCAGGTCTATAATCAATATGAAATAAAAATGTTAAAACAAATAGCAATACAAAAAAGTTTTCAATTATGCTTGAAAATATGTAATAATGTCACCAAATCTATTTAAAAAATGCAGTGAACTAAATATAGACAAGAGTTGAATTTTATATTTTTATTAGTTCAATTCAAAAGATTAATGAATAGTTCAAACCTGAGAAGTTCAATTTAATCTACATAATGAATAGTTCAATTTAATCTATATAATATGAAACGCTTATAAGTACATGGTTATCAAATAGAGCTATGTATTTTACATTTTACACATTTTGCCATTATTAAAAAAAATAATTATTTACATATTATGTAAGAAATGAAAAATGAGAAATTCTGAATTTTTACACTAATTAAATAAATTTATAGAAAGTAAAAACACTTTTTAATATACAAATGAATAAATTTTGTCTAAACTTACTGCATATGAGTAAATCCTAATGTAGGCATGTTCTTATAGTTCTCAGCAAACTTAGAGAGTCTATCAATGCAGCGAGCAAGCTAAAAAAAGAAACAGTAGTTCAAAGATTATAAAGGATTTTGATATGGTGATTATGAGAGAAGTTATTAGCTAAATTTCTAAAGTCTTAGCCGAAGGCAAATCTTACAAATTTTTAATGATTAATTTTTTTTTCTGCAGAAAACTTCAAATCATAATACAACTTTAGTATAAATTGAACTATTTTATAAAATGCGAATTCAAATCAAGAGCTATTTTATAGTTGGGGAGGAGTAAAAAAACTATGCATACCTGTCAACTTTGGAGAAATAAAAGAACGGAGATTTTACTAACGTTATTTTTCGGGCTACATAAAGTTTTAATACATCATGCATAATCATGTAAGTCAAAATTAGAAATAATATAAGCACTTACGTTTAGCAAAGTAAAAAATATGTATAGAAATCCTAATCTAAAGAGGATTTTTTAAAATCATTATTTAAAATTACTTAAACTATAAACACTCAATATACTCCTGTACTAGCAATAGCACCATCAGTTGAGGAATAAGAGAAGTATTTTTGACACTAATGGATATTTTATCGGCAAAATTCTTTTTTTTTTCTTTCAACAAATACGGGAAATTTGAGAATATACGAGTAATCAGGAGATAGTGGTAAAATACAGGAGTCTTCATTAGAAAACATGAGACTTGGCAGGTATGACTATGAATGTGATAGAGGATGAAATATGTAGATGGTGTTCTATGGTCTTTGAGGAAAAAATACAGGTTGGTGTAAATTTTTGATAACTTCTGAGGCTAGAGCAGTAATAAGAAAAAACCTCACGAAACATTTCATGTCTTTTTCTTCTGGCTATCTTTTAAATAAATACATTTTATTTTAAATAAAATTTCTCTTTCTTTAAGTCTTTTATATTTTAATAAAAGAATTTTTTATGTCTCACTTATTCTTTACTGTCGCGATTCTCATCATTCAGAGAAAAAGTATCACAGTAGAAGATTAGTTTTTATTCTACCCTTAGATATTTTTTATTGAAATTTGGGCAGGAGTTAACATTTTAATCGCCAGTCGAATGCAAGTGGTTATACTATATCTAAAACTGAATAGTGGTAATCCATAAAGATAAAATCAAAGTCTTATTTTATCAATCATTTTAGTTTTTAATTTATAATCAGTTTATTTTAATGAATAATATGCTATTGTTTTACGAGAAAATATATTTCATAAAAATAATTTATAAAATTTTTTTTAAAAAAAGTGAATTAAAATGACTATGAACTGAACAAAATGTCATTGAAGTTTTAATTCACATAATTAGCTAATCACAGGAATCAGAATCCCAATAAAATAGACTATGTATCATAAAAAAGTAATAACTTAATTTTCAATTATTTTGATAAGAAAATTTAAAATCGAATTGTGTTTGATGTCTAATAGTGCTCCATCAGTAACATTCCTGCTGATGGTTACAAGTCAAGGTTTTGATAAATGTACTATTGTGGCTTTAAATGTTGTTTTTATATTCTTAATTACGGCTCTAAATATTCCTAAATCATTCTTATATTTCTAAAAAAATCTATATAAAAAAAACTTTTAAATAACAAATATTCTCCACCCAAAATTTGCACATAAAATTCTACAATTATCATAGCATGCACAAAACAAAAATCAAACATAATTGAAAAAAGAAATACCTTTATTAAAAAACAAAGACTCAAAAGTAATAAAAGAAAATGAAGTTTACATACCTTTGGCAGTAAAATGTTAAGGGCATCTCTAATTAGTATTAAATCCTAAAGATAAAACATAGAATTAGAATATCTTTTAATCACAAAAAAATTTATAGCATGTGCAATAACAAACACACACTCACACGTATATATATAAAGAGAGAGAGAGACACACACAAAAAAAACTACTAACATATTCAAAAAAATCTAAAATAAATAAATATATTTTTTAAATGGTAAATAATAAAGTCTTTTAAAAACAATTATGAATGAATAGTAATTAGCTCAAATACTATCATTCATAACTTCAATAATTTATTATTTTAATTAATTTGATTAATGAGAGAAAAAGGTTTAATTGAATTAATGATAGGAATTGTTTTAAATTAAAAGTAAAAAAAAAAAAAAAAAAAATGTGGCATCATGGCACATTTGGCAAGTTTAATTAGTAAACAATTTTGAAGACCAAATTATGAAATAATATGATTGAATTGTTCTTGAAAAATAATTTAAAAATATGACTATTTTTAAATTTTTTTACTAAAAAATATTACTTTTTTAAAACTGTTTAATTGGATTTATAATTAATCATAGATGATGGTATTTGAAATTATTTCTTTTACATAATTCAAATAATTTCAATTCAGTAAAAAATAAAAATAAAAACTTAATTTAAAATTAGTTCTAGATATGCAAAAAGAAAAATAACATTATGGATTTAACTTACTGTGACTGTGAGTTTTTAATTTTCTGATGATTTTTATTGATTTTCTTTTCGTAATTTGTTTATTCTTTTGAATGTATCTTGTTTTTCCTGGACCTCTATACAAAACCATCGGGGTACTGAGGGAGATATTTTAAGCTTTTGCTTCTCCCTCAAATAGAAATGGTTTTGTTTTTAATGGCTACCGGGGCCGGTACCCCCTGAAGACGTCGGCTTCGGTGGTCGTATTTTTGTTTTATTTCATTTGTTTTGTATTATGGATTTAACCTCTTTCTTGACTTACTCATTCTTACTTTAAAGAATCTTTACATAAGATTTTTTTTTTTTTTTTTTTTAATATTTGAGCTTTGCCTTGATGATATCTATTTTGGAAGGAAAAAAAAAAGAAGCCAAAAGTTATATACATGTTTTAAAATTTTTTTTAAATGTTTGAACTATATACGTATCAATCAAGCAACAGATATATAATATTCTGGTCCTTACCTTCAATAATCACTATAAATTATTTATAAATATTTCAATAATTTTTTTTAAAATCATTAAACATTCAAGAAATAAGTTATAAACTTATGCATAAATATAAATACTATTTGAACAATATTTCTTATTTTCAAAACATATTTATGATACATAAACTGTTTTAGATTTTTTTTTCTTTTAATAGGATGTAATTTTACCTATTCATATGGCCCCTAAGTTAAAAATCAACTTAGAGTAAAACTTTTTGTATAGTTCAAAATGCGCTATGTATGTTCATTCTACGGTCAATAAAACTTTTCTTCTCAGTTTACAAAATCTTAGTGAATTAAAGACAGTTTTTTCATAGAAACATTTGAAAACATACTTTTCACCTGAATTACTAAAAATGTGTCTTATCTTAGATAAAATTAGTTGGGTTTTTTTTTGTTGTTGCTGTTGATTTTAGTCATTTTTTATCAACTATTTTATTCAGGGTAGAAATTTCTTTTAGAAGAAATGTATTTCTTAAAGGATATTAGAAAAACTGAAAAAATAGAAGAAAAAAAAAGAGCAAATGGTTTAGACATGAGTATTAAAAGTATATACAAACTAACAAAAATAATTAAAGGTATGTTTTATTTTAGATAAAAACACAATTAAAATGATTCCTTTTTGTGGCTTTATTCAACATTGTCTGTCTTCCATTAATTTCTTCGTAAGAATAATTTAAATTTAAACTAATGAAATTCAATAAACTACAAAAAATTTCAAGGTTTTTATATTTACTTTAGTTTTTTTACATAATCGCTATCTTCCTATTATTTGCTTTTTCACATGGAATTTTGAAACCTATATAACCTATTATAACATTTTAATGGTATTTGATATAATTTTAAAATTAAGTTCGATTATTTCGTTACATAATTTTTAAAAGTTGCAATCACAATAAGCAAAAAAAATTTTTTTTTATTAGAATCATTATTTTTTCCATATTTTAGTAAATATCTTAATTATTTATTATAGTAAACAACTTAATTATAATTAATAAATAAAATTAAACACAAACATAAAAACTAAAAGTTTTTAAAACGAAGCATGTTTCAAGGCTATAAACATAAAAATAAAGGATCCATTATACTAAATTGTGCATAGTAAATAGCTAATAATTTGTAGTTATTAGTAATAAAATAATTAAGTAGTTAATCGTAAAATAATTAAGTACTTCATACTGAAATAGTTCTCTAGAAAAATGTTTGAACAGTTAAGTAATTAACAATATAATATAACACAGTAAAAGGTTTGTTGTTATCTAGTTTTAATTCAATAGCAAATATCATTAATTTAACAAATGCTAGATGCGTTGACATTTTTGGCAAGCAGGTTCTTGACTTGGTGGACAGATCTATTGTTAAAACCGTATAAAAATGTCTCAAGTCAAAAACATGCCTCAAAGCAATATACTAGCTCTTACTGTATTATCTCCAACATAGCAAGATGTTGCTCCCAAATGAATAATTGGTGCAGCTTTAGGGCATTGTGCAGCAAACACGTGCACATGAGCCATAACATCATGTCTAGTCAGCATTTCTTCCTTGGCGGCAGCTTGAAAATCTATCTTGTCTACATGGGCTTCCATTTCAGCAATTTGTTCATCTGTGATTTTTAGACCAAGGCTCTTAATATAAACAAAGCTTTTTAAAACATTATTTTATGTAACATAACATATTAATCACACCGTGTTAAAATAATGAATTTAACAAAACACAATATTAGAAAAAAAGTGCTACTGTCACTGATCCTCGAATTATGGAGAATAACAGCAATTCGTAAAATATGGTCTTAATATGGTTTAAAACAGGAATTTTTGCATATTTTGCCTTCAGAACAAATGAAGAAAATCAAAAAACATTTCAAGATAATTATGTAAGTCACTTAACAATAGATTATCCATGTAAAAAAATTATTTTTTTTAGTTTGTTATTTTTCATCATTTAATTTACTTATGGTCAAAAATTTTTGAATTGTAAGGAACATTAATTTTATGCCAATTTAATTAACTTAGCTTTTAATGTTAATGTTTAAATTTAATGTTAAAAACATTTAAATTGTTTTCTTGACAATAGAGACCTCATTTTCAAGATTGATGCTACCTCCCTTATTTTGAAGTTACAAAGAAATGTCTGCTTTCTAAATTTAAAATTTTATCTTTTGCACGAAGTTCTAGAATGAGAAAATACAATAATTAGATCAAAGGTTATTTAAAGATTTTGCTCTTATTTTTTATTGTTGCCTTGTGCACAATAAATTTTTAATATAACATGAAAAACTCGAAGCAAGAACATCAGAATGAAATTATTATTAGACATTATACAAACATCCACCTGTATCACTAACCAAACTATAATCTATTATCAGTTATATTTTTTAAATCTTTTGTTTATTTTTATATGGAAATGGGAGCTCCAGGATAATTGAAAAATAAGCTTTTCACTGGCAAAACAAGGGAAATAGATTCTTTAGAGAAGCATACTCATATTTAATTTTATAACCATCCATGAACAGACATTTTGAGTTTATGACTACTAATGTTCAACTCTGTAGCCTTGTAATTTTGGAACCCAGTCTAGAAGGCAAAGGAACTCCTGGATCAGGCATTGAGAACTTGCCTTCGTGGAGGACCAACCCATATTTGTGTTGCATGGAAAGGAAAACCATGAAAACCTGCCACTGTTAGCCTTACAGCAAATGGACTCTAACACATGAAACGTCTATCACAGGGTTGGGTTTTTGCCGTCAAAAACTGGTTTTTGACATGACAGTGGTAAAAACAGTGTTTTTACCAGTAAAAACTGTCAAAAACCTACTGTTTTCTTTAATTTATGGCATATAGCGGACAATATATTATTTTCACTTAATTGCCCTTATAAATGAATGTTGTAAACAATTGCTATTGATTTTGCAACTATATACATGCATTTTTATAGAAGGATATACATTCATACAGAAATATTGTAATATACTTATTGAAAATAGTGATACTTACTTTTATCATTATAGCTTGATTTGCAAAGGATTCAAAATTTTGCACTTCTTAATTGTTAGAAATAAACAAACAAACAAAAAAACTTGGAACTATTAATAAATTCAAGAACTAAAAAGAAGAATTTAAAATTTGGCATTTCTTAAATATTAGAAATAAGCTAAACAAAACTTTCAAAACTTGTAACTACTAACAAACTCTAAGTCAGGAATGACTTGACATTCTTCAGTAATGTAATATGCCAAACAAAATGATGCTTGGAAATGTTGAAAATTTTGTTTAGTATCCTAATATTTTACTTCAAATAGTATGATTTGATATAATCATGTTGGGAAAATGCAAAAATCTGTTCTTAAATATCTTTTAGCAACTTTTTTTCTAATTTTATTGCCCAAAAATGAATTAATTTTGAATCATAAGCAGTTAAACTCAAATTAAAATACAGTTTTCTCAAAACTATGGGTTTTTGACATGACGGTAAAAACCATGGTATAAACCGGTAAAAACCGTCATGTGTCAAAAACTTGCCAACCCTGGTCTATCAGTGAGGATATTTTGCGTCAGAGTGATCGGTGGCAGCCAGCTTCAGAATTCGAGTCGACCAGCCATGTTTAGGATCGAAACAAGTTCACCACTTTCTAAGGCGAGCGCTCTATCCCCTGAGCCACAACGGTTCAACTTAGATCCAACGACTAATTTAATAGATTCAGCTTCTTTTAATATAAAAGTATATGCTTCAATGTAATTTTACATCAAATGTAAGCCAGTGATCATTGGTATTTCTCTGAAGCTATGATGAACTCTTTGTTAGTGTTTTTCCCTGTTCACTTTTGGTTGCAATTTTATAAGCCTCTCAATATTATTAATATGAAAAATAAGCTAAAAAAAAATTCCCAGTGTCTGACACTGAAGAAAGAGGAAAATGAAACCAAATTTCAAAACAATCCATGAGTAATATTTCAGTGAACATACAATGTTTGCAAGATTTTTTTTCTGAAAATTTTTATAAAATTCGGTCATTTTTCAAAAACTTAGTATTTTTAAAAAAGTTTCAAATTTTTCACAACAAATGCAAAAAGTAAATATATCACGGAAAAAATTTCCCAGTAATATTCAATACACAACCTCTAAGTGGTAATTTTATTTATATGACTTGATACATTTGATTTATAAATTTTTAAAAAAAAATTTATCGTTTTTTTGGAAACTTTCAAGATTTAAGGCTTTTGCAAGAAAAGAATATGCTACATAAAAATTAGGAAAAAATTCAAAAGTGAGGTATTGTCAATGAACAATTTTAAGGAGGTAATACTTTTCGATCATTAAAAACTTGTTTTTTTTCACTTGACCCATTACTCCTTACTGTTAAGAGGATTTTTTTTTTTTTTTTTGCTAATATAAAGGTCCAAAAAAAAAAAAATTATGGACATATCATTTTCTCTACAAGTGTTTCAATGCCACTATGATAAGAGCCATTTTATTGTTTTGTAATTGCTTGCTTTTTATTACCTCAACCTTTTGGAGGTATAAAAGAAAATCAGCATTTACTGTAAAGTGTTTCCGCAAAAAAAAAAATAATAATAATAATAATTATGAAAACACGAGAAAATATGAAGAAAACAAATTTTTTTACTCCAAAACATGCTATTATTTTTAAATAGAATAATTCTAAAAATATGCATGCTTTATTGACACAAATTACAAATAATAATAGAGTGATAATAAGGAATATGACATACATGAATGTTAAATAATTAAAATATTAAATAATTTTGTATAATTTAACATTGTAAAGGATAAATTTACCTTTTCGGCCTTAGCAAGGTAAATCCAAAGCTTTCTCCAGGTCGTAAATTTTTTAATATCACTAAAATTTCTAGACATTTCATCACTCGCATAGCGGTTAGAAAGCGGGGATTGATAATGTGAAAACATGCTGTCAGCCATAGTTAATATCCACTTACTAAGAACGTTAGTAAATTACGAAAAGAAGTGGCAGTTTCCCAGATAAACTACACTTATATATGGAGATGAAAAAAAAGAGAGAAATTTTATCTCCTCATAAGTAAAGAAAGATAATCGCATCCTAATCACATTCACAACTCATGCCTTTGTTTACAAAACAATATTAGCCGCTATTGCCATTTTTGTAAAACAAAATTAAGGTTGCTTTCACCGATTAGTCCCGCAGTGGGCTGATCGTTAAGGTTCCCAGCAGATCACCGAAGTCAAGCATCACTGGCTGCGGTCAGTGTGCGGGTGGGTGACCACTTGGATCAGTCTGCGTAGAGACCGAGGGTGTGCGGTATTGGTCCTCGTTAAACTGTGCTACCGTAAAGTGCTCGACTTCGCGCGCAGGTAGTCGGGCTACCGAAGCGGGGATGCCATCCCCTCCGCAGAGGATCAAAATTGTGATGGCTTGTCTTCGGATCATCCTCCGGGATGTTTCCCAGACCGTTGTCAATAGCCCATTGTGCAGCTCTAGTGCGACGTAAATTAACAACAACAGCTTTCACCGATTAAAATTTATGATAGAGGTCACTACAAAAAAAGGTATCACGTGATATACGAAGTAAATACCTTTCACTAAAATCAAAAATTAATTCGTAGCTAGTAAATATCTCCCTCAATGTTTCAAAAATAAATCATATTTTGTGACTATGGAGCTGCCATCAGTGTGCGGGTGGGTGACCACTTGGATCAGTCTGCGTTAGGACCAAGAGTGTGCGGTTTTGGTCCTCGTTAAACTGTTCTACTGTAAAGTGCTCGATTTCGTGTGCTGGCTGGTCATCGGGTTACCGAAGCGGGAATGCCATCCCCTCTACAGAGGATCAAAATTGTGATGGCATGTCTTCGGATCATCCTCAGGGATGTTTCCCAGACCGTCGCCAATAGCCCATTGTGCAGCTCTAGTGCGACGTAAATGAACTAGAACAACAACAGAAAACAGAGGTAAAATACGATTAAAGCGGGTCTGAAAGGGCTAGAGAGCGAATTCCCCTTCTCATTTAGTGAAAATTATTAACAGTAGAATTATATTTCTCATGCCGATGAATTGATAATAAATAACACTTTTCAATTTCTCACATTTTGAACTGTAAAGTTACGTTTGTTTTCGAACAATTATCAATTCACTTCAACATTTTGTTTTTTGTGCAATTTATAGACATATACGTCCCAGATCGCAAAGCAGTCTAAAATTAACATCTTAAGGTCCCGCAGTGGACTGATCATTAAGACACGGTTCCTCGCAGATCACCGAAGTTAAGCATCACTGGCTGCTGTCAGTGTGCGGGTTGGTGACCACTTGGATCTTTCTGCCTAGGCACCGAGGGTGTGCTGTATTGGTCCTCGTTTAACTGTTCTACAGTAAAGTGCTCGGCTTCGCGTGCAGGCCGTCGAGCTACCGAAGCAACTACATCGTAAGAGTAGTTTTTATTTACGTCGCACTGGAGCTGCACAATGGGCTATTGGCGACGGTCTGGGAAACATCCCTGAGGATGATCCGCAGACATGAAATCACAATTTTGATCCTCTGCAGAGTGAGTGGCACCTTGTAAGAAGTTCTGGAGGCTGGCGAGCGATACTGAGCAGTTTTTTTAAAAATGTAATTGTTGCAGCATATTCTTAATGGACAATATTTTATTTTTTAGTCCACTTAGTGAAAAAATGTTTGTTTTTTACTTAAATGTACTAAAAATTTATAAATCGTGTCTTTGTTTAAAAACTACACATTAGAAATAACTGATGGTACTTAATTAGTAAGAGCTGTACTGCGTCAACTATTGGAAAAAGAATACTTTTGTTGTCTCATTACGTAATTATTAATTTGTCAAGATTTTTCCCTTTGTATTCACATATAACTTTTAAACAGTCTGTTTTTATATTTTAGCATACTATAACAACAATATCAAAGGAAATATTTATAGAAAAATTAGGAGCCCTTAATGTGGCACAATATGGTTTTTATGGTAAACCGCAGGAATTACTCAAAAAGCTCGTGATGAGTCAAAGGGTTAAGTGATATGAAGACTCAGAATAATATTTGTTATTTATTTACTCAACCTTATTTATTTACTATTCCTTTACTTAAAATAATATTTATAGACAAATTATTGGGCCTACAATGTTGCACAATATGTAAGTAAGTATGATACGTATAATAGCGTTTAAATGGAGAAATTGTAACTCATACATTATATATATACATAGATATATAAATATAAGACTCCATATATTCCCTTAATATTAACCAATCATTTTTAAACTAGGTCTGGAAATATATTATTACATACTATACTGCTACATTAGTTTTTGATAAAGTTTCTTCCATGTTGCATAGAAGGAACATATTTTTTTCCATAACTTTAACCACAGCTGAAAAAACTCTCCCAAACTCTATTAAAAAAATGATTTTTGAAAAAAATTTATGAATTGAAACTTTTACTCACAAACACACAATTCCTTTTATTTTTGCATACATAAAGTTCTGTACAAATATCAAAATATAAATAACATCAGGCATAGGATTATTTACACAAATGTGTAAAATATTACACACAAAAGGTTAGCATAGCATCTGTTTTGACAATTCACATAAGATTTAATAAAATATACACAAATATGGGTCAGTAAGTATTATTCGTTGTTGCTTAACTTGTAACCATAACTATAAAAAAATTCTTTTTTTTAAAAATTTTTGATACTTATTAAGAGTAAATGATTTATAAGAAAAATAGAAAAAAAAATCATAGAATATAATTACGTATTAAAAGAACGTACATAAATAAAATACGCAATTTATAGTAGTAATTAGTATAAATTATTAAAAATTCTTATCTTACAGATTTTAACGTAAAATTCAACAATTTAAATAAAATAATGTATCCTTTACTTATTGCTGAAGTTTTCTTTTCTAAATGTAAAATTATCTAAATTCAGATAATGTCTTTTTCTTGTCTTCTAACATTATCAAATGCCAACTCAAATACTTGACTAGAAGATGTCCACAGTCTTTCAGCTGCATGGAGAGAAGGTCTTCCCTTTTATAGTAACACCAAACTTCATTTAGCAGAAATTTTGTTTTCTGGCTAGCGATAAAAGTTTAATGTAATAGAATAATATGTTTTAGTCTAACAGTACAGTAAATTAGATAATAATTTAAAAATACATGTGTATTTTTTAAAAAAAAAAAGCATTAATAACGTCAGACTGTTCAACTTTCTCTGTGTTTCTACAGAAATCAACTAATTTTTATTTTATATATTAGTGAACAGCGATTACTTGTAATTTTGAGCCTTAAATAAATCTTAAAACATACCTTTAAAAATTTAATATTTTTAGCTTCTAACTATCTAGAATTAACATTTCTCTATTTTTGAATTACTGATTTCGACGTTTCCTCTAAGTTCATTAAAATTAAATTTAAAAGTAATTAAAAAATTTCTTGATATAGCGAATCAATTTTTTTTAATTTTTTCTCTTGACTGGAAGGGGTGGAGCATTTAAGAGGTGCATTCCCTAATTAAAAAGAATTTTTCATTAATTCAGGAAGATTCAACAATTGATTTCCCTCTTAAAACTTTTCATCACTAAATTTTTATTTTTACCATACTTCTATTATAACTTTAATAATCATTCAAACTGCAAAACGAATTGTACCCAATTGTTGGAGATAATACAACTTTCAACACATAATGTAGGGTCAGGAAATAAAAGGCGAGCCACAAGAGGGTGCTTGCTCAGGAGTAGACGGAATGTTCCCTGTTGCAGAACTTCAATCAACAACAATTCGTTGCCAGATATATATTTACGCATCGAGCTGAAAATAGCAATCGGCTACAGGTGGCGTAGAGAAGAACTCTCTACCTATGGCAACACTTCGCATTCTTTCAGCAGTAGCGTGTGGAGAGTCATAAGAGAAGCAAGTACATTAGTTTCCGCCTTGATTTTCAAACAGATTAAAGTATTTTAAGTTAGGAAACTAAATGGAACTGAAAAATACATGAAACATAATTCTAAAAGAAAGCGTGGCAGAATTTTTTAAAAATATTTTTAACAATTAAATACGAAAAATATTAAGAAAAGGAAAAATATCATAGTACATACAACAGAAAAGAGGAGAAGAAATCTCCTCAAAGGTACCCGGTAACCGATTTTCTCCCCAGATGGCGCATTCGAGAGTTGCATTCGCAAAAAGCTATATTTTAATAGCCTTGTAATTTTGAACACAACCCAGAAGACAAGGAAATTCCTAAATCAAGCATTGGGTCAAACTAGCCTACGTCTGATGAAACACAGAGAGGAAAACTATAAAAACTTCCCCCAACAAGGGAGTTCCAACCCATGTCCATAACTGAGGATATTTTACATCAGCACTGTGGTCAGTACTAATTCGTATCAATCCCCGACATTCGAACCTGAGTTACATCATTGGGCAGCAAGGGCTCTATCCCCTGAGCCATCATGAATGTATAGTATTTGTTGCAAAGTTTTCAATAGGAAAAATTCTTTAAATTTATTACTTGCATTTAACATTATATCAATTTTTATCAAGCAAGCAGGCAACCTCTTGTCCATTGCTTTTAGACACCTTACTGCAAGGTGAAAGTTGCTTATTTTGGCTATCACTCATTATAGTTACGATCATCAGTTTTGTAACACCTTGCATAGACTCTTTATATTTAAGAGTAAATAAGTAATATAACCATCATCATAAGACCTGAACTAAAGCAATTATTAAAAAATATAGTTAGTAGTAGTATAATTTTAGCAATGGAATGCTAAAATATATATAATACAAAATATTCCCTAATGCTTGTCTTAAAAAGTTATGGAAGCACTAATTTTAATAGTTATTTTACATTCACCTGGCTGGAATGTTCTATACACTGAAAGGGGGCGGGGACACAGTAAAACAATTATACAAACATTAGTTAACATGAGAATAATTTTAAAAAAGTAAAAAAAAAAAAAATTCTTAATGTTTGTGCTTTATTTATTGTGCTATCATTTAAAATAATTTAGCAATAAAAAAATGGCAATAACTGACCCACATTCAATTTGCACACATTAAAGGCACAGAGCATATTGTATAGTTTTGAAAATGACACATACACATGACAGAGAAAATGAAGCACATAAGCTAGCCAACAAGAGTCATACAGGTTCAATATATTTAGAAACTAGATATTTGTTAATAGGAAATGTAACATATTCAATGTAGAGTTAAGAATTTTCTTTGTATATGTTTACAAACAAAAAATATATGAGCAACCATTACAAAATTTACCTGTTTAAACCCTCAATATAAACTAAATTTGTGCATAAATGAAAAAAATGAGCATTGTTCTTGTTTTATAAAACAGAGTATTATGAAACATTAATCTAACAAAATATCATCAGAAAACTAAAAAATAAATTTTTTGGAAAGTAAAATATGTAAAGTCTGCGTATAATAGGTCCAGTCAAAAAACAAAGAAAAATGGGTCTTAAAACCAGAAATATGTACTTTTAGGATAATTGCTGGTGTAATTAAATAAAAATTTCTTTTTCATGTTTTTTATTAAATAGGGGGCATCATTTAAGAGGACGGCATACCACGGAAGAAAATTTTGGTAGCAAATTCTCTTTCTCCTTCATTACTAATTTAAAAGGAAGAAAAAGTAAGTTCAGGCATACCTAGAGTGAAAGAATAAGTAAGTTCAGGCACACCTAGAATAAGTCATGACGTTTCAGCAGCTGAAAAAAAAAAATACTTCAAAATATTAAGATGCAAACAAATTATTAGAAGAGAACTTCACCGTTGTGTCATCCTAAGTTATCTACTCATAATTTATTTTCATTTGTATCTTTTAAAATTTCCTTTTCAGTATTTGAAGCTTCGTGGCTTACTCTAGTTTTGTCTGAACCCACTTTTTCTACACTTCAAATTCGTATCGAAGGAAAAAGAGAATTTGCGACGCAAACTTTCTTACAAGGGAAAGCATCTTCTTAAGGGAAGCGATGATAACCAAGCAGTTGTTAGCCTATTCATGCTTTTACAAAAGAGAGATCAAGATCAAAGAGCTACTCCTTATTGATTTCCTGAATAAAGAATCAATAGTTAGCAGTATTTGAAAATGTCCCAAGTGAAAATACTTAGGCTATTTTGAAGCCCAACACAGCTAAGGAAATAAAGGAAAAAATTCAGATACAATGCACCACCCATTCAATTTGCCACATACAGGGTTACCACAGAAAAAAATGAACAAAATAGTTGCTTTTAGTAGCCTAAAACACGAAAATAGTAGCCAAAAACTAGGAAAATAGTTGCCTAAATAAGAACAAAAATTCATCAAAAATATGACTAAAATTTTGCTAATGACTTAATTGTCATATACCATGATCCATTCAGTCAAGTTGGTGGCAAATATGAGAATTTTTATATAAACGTAAATGTTTATTTATTTATATATACATGAAAAGTGATTACTTAAATTCGAAATTCAAGCATCGTAATATCATATTAAAAAAAGTTTTTTTTTAAAAAATCATGCAGAATTTTGTAGCAATAATCATTGAAAAGTCGATCGAGAAATGAAAGAGACTTACAATGGAGTCTGCAGAGATTGAACGAATTAAAAAGTGAAGACACAAATTTGCAATTCAAAATTTTCTATCTTTTAAGAAAAAAAGAAGTTCAGTGTGTTCAGAAACTATCTTGTGGGGTGCAGATTTTCCAACCAATTCATGCTAAAAAAAAAAAAAAAAAAAAACATCGCTAGGAGTACAGAAAAGTCTCCTTTTCCTGAAAATAGTTGCTTTTTTTTTTTAGCCTTTTCAGAGAAAATAAAGTTGCCATAGTCGCCTCATGCCAAAAATAGTTGTATTTTAGTCGCCTGTGGCAACCCTGCACATATTGAAGGAATCAAGGCGTGCGTGGGTTTAAGGATGGCACCAGGGGTTAAAGTTCATCGGAATTCTCCTCATAAAAGGGTTAATGCTGTTTACGGGGAATCACATTATATAGATTTTCTACTGTAGAAACAATTTCAAATATGTTTATAGGATTGAACTGTAAATAAGATTAGTTTTATGTCAAAACAGAGCAATATTTACACATTGCCAACAAGCTTGTAAAGGTGTTTATCAGATTTAAGATTAGAAATTAAACATATAGCTCATTTTACAATATGCTGAAACTTTTAACATATTCTGTTGAGAATGAAAATGGAATGCAATGCCTAACTTTTGTGACCGACAGTATATGCAGGGTATTATGTAATGATCACCCTTAATACATAGTTTCAGAATTTTTATCAAAAAAGAATAGACATTCGGGGTAAGTTTAATATTGAAGCAAGAAAACAAAAATACTAAAATCTACATAAAAACCTCTGTTTGTTTGAGGAGCTGAAAAAAAAAAACTGATAAAACTTTCTACAAGTTGTTCTACAGAATTTCTGTTTTGTCATTATATGTACATTTGACAAGGATTCTAAAAATATATATTAAGAGTAGGAATTGAACAATACCTTGCATATAGCTTCCTTTGTAAACATTCCAGATTTTTTTTAAAGATTTGTAACAAATGGACTGAAATATTTCTATAACTACGCATAAAAAATAAACTTTTAACTTATGTTTAGGTATAAACATAGTAGACTTGTTTATAAGAATGAGTTATTTACCTGAATTATGCTTCTTATTAATAAATGTTTTATTAATAAGTTCCCAGAAAGGTTTCTACACAAACTGTGTGTTTTGTAAATAAAAAGAAGTTTTAAAATACGTTAAAAGTTCTTCAATAATAACTCATGTGATCGAAAAAGGTCGTACTAAATTGAAGATAAATAAATAAAACAATATCCTTACAAAAACAGTATACAATTAAGTACAATTTAGCACAAATACTACAAACACAATGAAGAGGGTTTTACAAAATCTAAAGACTAGTAATATAGGCTGTCTTAGATATTTTACAAACTGTAAAATATAGTGACAGCAAAATCTGCATTCTGTAAACTGAACATTTCTTATTTCATTGAAAAAGTAAAATAACAGTGTCAATATTTCGTTTCAATAGTATGGTTATAATTACAAAACATATAATCTGATTTCCTTCATAGAATTTATATGACTAATGAAATGTACTCGTACAGGTTTTTCCTATATTTTGGAATTTTTTTCTTCATAAAAATCAAATTTAAAAGAGATTTTCTTTTCTAGTCTACTAGTACTATCAAAATCCTAGGTATGAGATAATTTTTAACATTTAAAAATCTTGAAACTTGCGTGGTGTTTCTTTTAAATAGTATTTTAGTACTGTTACTGTTTTAACAACACAATTGTTTTAACAAGTGAGAACAAAATTATACAGCATTGAGATGGATTCAGGTTGGAAATATTAATTTTTGTTATAAAGTATAGAATCATAAGAACAGATTTTCTAAAGAGAACTGCAAATTTTTTTCCTGCATACACAAGTCTGTTGAACATGTCGCTATTCAGGGGTCTGCCCCAGACATTTTGTGAAAGGTCTGTTTTTGTAAAATTGTGAAAAATTACTTGTAATTTGTGAATATAAAATAAATGTTAAGTCACATTTTTTCAACCAGGGTCTTTCTTTTATGAATTTGTACAAATAGGGTCCTGTTATTGCAAAAAACTTGTTCAAGGAGTTTTGAAACTGTAAATAGATACAAGATAATGCTCAACACTGCAAAATTATAATTAAAAAAAATTAAAATTTTAAAAAATAAACAGCAATTGCTGCTGCTAAATTAGAGATGAAACATACAAATATTTGGTATTCAGCCTATACTGCTGAACGCAGAATATTAATTTCGGACTAATAATGGAAGAAGTGTCTGCCGAAGACAAACGTTTACATAATTACAGTTCGTTTACATCTGTTTTTCTTCCCTTTCCCCCTGGGAAGGGTTTATTCGATTAACAAAACAATAATGAAGATAAACAAATTTGTGAAGGATCCGATTAAAAGATAAATTATGTTGTGGAGGGTCCATTTTTAAGTTAAAATAATTTGTGAAGGATCCGTTAAGTTAAAATATTTTGTGAAGGGTTCGTTAACGGACCCAAATTTCTTCTAAACAGACTCCTGCTATTATCATAAATATTACTGTGGAAGTTTTCAAAATGCATTTTATTATCTTCAGATGTTATATTTTTAGAGTGCATAAAAGTTTTTTTTTCATTTCCAACCTCTGAGATTATGAATCCTTCCTTCAGAAGTATGTGGTAAAGTGAATGACAAACCACAATAGAAAAATCATTGTTTTATAGAAAATAACAAAAATACTAAAAGAATTACAATATTTGAGATTCCATTAAGGAAATTACCTTTATAAAATGTAGATTCATATATATATATATATATAAGGACTTCACACAAATCAAATTTCAATACAACAAAATAAATTTTATCACAAATCCTTCTTCATTAAAACCACTTTTTTTCTGTGACATTTGACACACATTGTCTCAAGTGTGGAATTCCTTTATCTTTTTTGGAAAATTGATGAATTTTATCTTTAATAACCAATAAATTTGTTGGTTAACTTTAAAAATGTGCGCACCTAAAAAGTCCTTAAAGTTATCAATATTAAAATTATACTAAGGGTAACTCTTAAATAATAGAAGTATTTTACAGAAATAAAATATTTATGGGTTCCCAAACAGTGCACACAACACTGTATAATCAGCCAAAATTGCCATCAAGGTTTTTTTTTTTTTTAAAAAAAGAAAAAAAGGAGAGATTTTGTGTACCCTAAGATAAAATTTATTGTAAACTTCTTCCCTCTCTAAACATCAAAAGTCTTATTTTTATATTTGATACAATTTACAGAAAAAATGTAATTTACACTTTTATATTCATAATAAATATTTTCAAAAACCTACTAAAATATTAACCTCAACTTCTTTTAGATTTCTGCTGAAAAATAAAAAAGGTAATCTTTTATAGAGTATGTTAAATTTTAGAAAAATGAAATTTTATCCAAAGGATTATCATTTCTATAAACTATTTGTCACTCTCTTTTTTCTCTCTTTCTATTGCAGTAGACCAAACACTGGAAGCACTGTTTGGTAACATGCAAACAAAGACGTAAAAGATAATTATTTTAGAACAATTTACACTTTTATATTCAGATTTAAAACTTTTCAAAAACCTACTAAAATATTAACCTCAACTTGTTTTTATTAGAGTAGTATTGTACTTGTATTATTAGAGTAGTATTGCTGTAGGCCAAACACTGTTTGGTAACATGTAAACGAAGATATAAAAGATTTTAGAAGGAATAAGTAAAATTACAGAATGACTGTATTAAAGATGAACTAAGAGGATTTTTCCATAATAGGCCATATAAATTTAGCATCACAGCGCTTGTATGTGAATAAACAATTGGATCCATTAGCCACTAGGTCTGCCTTTATCACCTGAGGACATTCGCTATCTGACAGCATTGTTTCTGGAATAATAATATTTTACTCATTAGTTCCAAACTCAATATATTTCTGTCTAAAAAGATTTTTAATAAAATATATAAATTTTTTATAAACTTATTTCGGAAGATGGTATGCTCTAATCTAGTTCATCACTAGTTCTTTGAAAATCAGACAACTACTTTTTCATTCGAATTTATCTCTAGGTAATAGGAGCTGAATGTATTCAAATATAAGCGTAGCATCAGGAATGAGGGGTCACATGACCCCTGAATAATTTTTTAAAGTTGTACAATTTTTTTAAAGTTATTTCTTTATATTAAATCTAAAAAAAGGTATTATTTTATTTAATAATATTTATTTTAGATAGTTCATTAATAATTTGACTTGATAACTCAATGATTATCACTTTTATGTAAGTAAATGTATACTGCGGCTTTCAAGAGAACTCCTCCAGACATCAGTCTCATGTCATGGCGGGTACCATGGTTACAAGGAAAAGTCACATTGAATAGGGTGTGGGGTGAATAGTTTTGTCTTGATCTTAACATAGGTCAGTGTGAGTAAACAAATCAACACCTTCATTCCACCCCCATTTGAAATTTTCTCTCGCTTGTTACTATAGCAGCAGACAGCACCAGAATTTTAGTCTGGAGGAGTTCTCCTCAAAGCAGCACAATAGTTAATTTTTATCAACACATAGTGTAATAATTTAAGACACTTTTTTCTGTTTACTACTGTTAAAATTTTTTAGTACAGTAGAGAACCATTTATCCGGTAACCAGATAACCGGGAAAAATTTTGATCTGTTTTCCCGCCATTTTAAACTAGAACGATTATGAAAAAAAGCGGAAATTGAACACACCCTTGAAGTTGAGTAGAGGAAAATGTAAGGAAGGGGAGAATTTTTTCCCCCCGTTTACCCAGAGAAACGTCATTTCCTCCGTGACCTTGAAGGCAGGAATGTTTTATTTTCTCCTTTAGGCCGTCAATCAAGCTCAAGGGTGTGGCATGCTGATTTCGTTTTCTGTTTGATTTACGAGGCGGTGAGGAAAATGCATTGCATGCATATCAGTGAACAGAAGATGCAAGAGAAAAATATATTTATCTATTTGACATCGATTAATAAAAATAAAATCTTTTTCTCCTGATTAATTTTCCTTCTTTGGAAGTGCGGTATCATTTGCAAGTTTTTATTGATGTGAAACAAAAACAAAACAAAAAAAAAAAAAATAGAAGGAGAATTGTTTATTAATTTAAACATAGGATTATTTTATGAAGCAGATTGCAGTTTTGTTTTTCCGATTCCACTACGTTTGATATTTTTTTCTTTTCACGATAAATTTCGCACTTAATAAATTAATTCTTTTTATTCATAAATTTTATCATTAGTTTTTTTTTTAAAATTCCGTTGATCTTGCCTTGTTCCGGGTTTTAATATTTATGCTAGTGCCTTTTTTAACTATCGTTTCGGTTTGATAATTTTCAAGTGTTTTTATTTAGTTAACTAGTTTTCCTTTTATTTTATCGTTTCCCCCTTATAATTAGGTATGAAATATATTGCGTTATTTTACCATTGGTTTTGTTTATATTAGTTAATTTAGGAATTGTAATTATTTTTAAAAAATAAATACGAGAATTCTGTATTTTTTAAACTTCTTTTTCTTTTCTCTAAACTTGCAAATTTTTTTATTCTTTTAAACGTTATTTTTCTACCATTCCTTCTTTTTTTCTTTAAAGTTAGGAGTACCTTTCTTTTTTCTCTTACTTTATGCATTACACTTTTTCCTTGTAATTCGGGTTCGATAAAACATCGATTAACGACACTTTTTGGTCTACCCAGAAAACCGGGATATTCAGGCATCCCGGATAATTGGTTCTCTACTGTATTATTGACATTTTTTTTTTTTATAGAATTAAACACCTTACAGATTATTTTCAAAATTAAATATATACTTTGATTTTTTCTTAAGCATACATTTTTAAGTAAAACTTGACTGTCAAATTATATTTAATATTCTTATAATTTTTAACAAATAAGTTCCGTTTCCTACAAAGTATCCTTTTCATTATTAATTAATTTCATTTTAAATGCTGTGTAAGATTTTTGTTTACCATATTTAGGTATAGAATAACAACCTAAATATTTTTAGGAGCAAAAGAAAAAAAAAAGTGTTTTGGTGCCAATAATTTTTATATTCATCTCGTAAAATTTCATTTTTGACCAGGTTCGAGCATTAAATTTACACTTTATATCATAGTTAACAGATTTCGGAAAATAAATGCACAATTAATAAAATGGTTATAACAAAAACCCAACGAAGAATTATGTAAATAAATATATAAAAGGTTACTCAATTGGTTCCCTGCAAAAACTAAATAAAAAAATAGAGGTTAAAATCAGATTTAAATACGCACTTTAAAAAATTAAATAACAGAAATATTCCAGCAACCTTTAGAAAAAGAACTAAATAAAATTTTTGATTTAAACTTAATTTACTATCTCCAATAAAAAAAAATTAAATCAACAAAGCAGGATTTATTTTATGCGGAATTTATGGCCATCTTATTCACCAGGTTTGCATTCAATAAAATTTCGGTGCATAGAGAAAAGTTTTGTGCCAAACTGCATAAAATTTTGGGAATCATGAGAAACTCTTGTAAAAGAATTTGGACAAAGTATAAGTAGGTGAGCGGCTGCATATGGCAGAAAATTTTGCGGCATGTTTACCGTTCTGTATTAAAGCCAAATTAGATTGATCAGAAGGAAATTTTCAAGTATGTTATACGTAGCAATCTTTTCATGCTAATTTGAAAGTTTGGTTGTGGTATTTAAAAAAGCATTGTGTGGATGTAATGAAAGACACATAAACCCTCTTTTGTCCACAGATTGCAATCATCAAAAATAGGTTTGGTTCGAATTACTTTAAACATCAAGGTTTTACAGAACTTACGCTAATACACAGTGAAAAAAATGTATACATTACACAAGTATAAAGCAAAATTAAAAGAAAATTCATGAGAGATAATATTACCTTCTCCATCGACAAGCTTGAAAAGGCAGTAATCTTGAGGATTAGTTATATTAAACTTGTGAGCAATTAATTTAGCTGCAAAAAAAAAGAAGTTCACTTAGACATTTATCAATTATGACAACAGCACATACATCAAACAGGAAAATTGTTTTTTCAATTGTCAATGCTTATTTTGAGTACATTAATATCAAAATTTTTATTTCTTTTAACACTAGAAAGAAGGAAAATTAGTATATACAGTGAAACCCCGATTTTACGCTTTCGGTCGGACTAGCAATAAAAAACGCTAGAAGCGGAATAACGTAAAATCGGGATTAAGAAAAATCTATGCATATTTTTAAAAATTGACACCTACCAGTTAAATTAATGGAAAAGATTAGTAATCTTCACTTCCTCTTTGTTTTTAGCTACAATTTCATCTACAACTTGTTCAATACTAGCATTTTTTTGCAAATTTGCTTCTTGATTTACATTTGCAAGTAAAAACTGTTTTAGAGTTTTTATGCTTTGTAGATTTTATGCTTGTTACCCACCCCCCTATTGACAAATGGAACAGAAAGAATGCAAGAATTGTTCCATACAGCTGAGAAGCAAGTTTTTATTGTTCAAAAAACTAGAAAAAAGTTTGCAGAATAAAAAAAATTAATTTGATCTGTTGGTAGACAAACGTATAAAGCGGGATTTTCATAAAAGGGGTAACGAAAAATCCGGGATTTTTTAACATTATTGGTATAGGCAATTTTCACGTATCAGCAGAAAATGGCACAAGAAGCGGGATAACGTACGAAACGGACAACGTAAAATGGGGGTTCCACTGTACCTACATTGCTCAAAACCAGTCAAAATGACTGGATTGTGAATGCGTAAATAAATTTGTTTAAAATTAATTTTTAAAATTTTTTACATTATTTACAGTTATATAACAAGTTATTAGTAAATATTAACAATAAAAAAAATGTATGTTGTACAAAAAGTCACAAAATTCTAAGAAATTGTGTCATTATAAATGTCATTGTTTTTCTAATTGAAATTAAAAGCAGTAAAAATAACTTCCTTGGACAATCTAGTGTTAAATAAATCAGTTTAGCCTTTTTTATAACAGAAAAAAGTGGGTTTCACTTTTATAACACTAGAAATGAATATGAAAAGAATTATTTTAAAGTTTCCTGAATTCATAATGATATTTATAAGATCCAAAGGAGAAAAATCACTTACCAACTTCTTTAGTTGTCATGTTAGGCTTAATTGGAAGGGTCTTTGATATAATACTGCCCGTTAATTCATCGGGTATCATAATTTTCAAGAAGCCCTGAAGATCAGCAATGCATGCAAGTCTAGGTTCAGGAGAAGGCTGAGGGAAAAAAAAGAATGAGTGAATTAATTGATACAAAAACATGCATTATTTCAGTAAGCTTCATAAGATGTCTCTTCATTTCATGCTAAACTGCTGGATAGAGAAAATGTTTATAATAATAATAATATATATATATAAACATAATATATAAATATAATATATATATAAATAATTTATATATATATATATATAGAGAGAGAGAAAGAGAGAGAGACATGCGTATCTATCTATATATATATTCTATCCCTTTTTGAAGAGTCCGATTCACATGACTTCGCCGTCGATCTTTTTTCCTCCTGTAGTTATTGCTAAGAATTCCACAATTTTATTATTATTCTTTTTAACGTGACGATGATTTACAAAATGCGAAAATATTGCCCATAATATTAGAATAAAGAAAGAATATGACATATTCGAGTAAAAAAATTATTTTATTTCATCCAAAAAAATGTTATTTTTTATTTATTTATAATTTAAAATTTTTTCTTTTTTTGGAAATTGATGCTTTTGTTACGGTAAATTAGTAACATGTATATTTGTTATTATTAAAAGTATCTTGCAGAAAGATATTAAGTCCTGGAGAGTCGCAGAAAACTCTGCTACAGGGGCATTACGATCTGTAAAACTGAGTATTGCCACTTTCACAGCATAGGCAGGGTGGCCACCCAAATCTAGAAAAAAAAATTCCCTGTGTTTTTTCTGTATATATTCTACACAATATATAAAGCGGAAGAACGCAATCACTGTGATCTTTTAATGAGTTGTATTGGGATAACTATACTAGTTATAATTGCTGAAAAAACAGAGAAGAAAAAAAGGAACAGTTGAACATATAATGCTATAACAAATGAAATAGTTTAGTATTGCTGAAATATCATCCTAAAATATCCCATAGATAGCACTTTGGCTACCATTTTTTAAAAGACAAAAATAAGAAACAAAATTCCCTGTTATTTTAGGTGATTTTTAAATTCCCTGTATTTTTCAGGTTTCCCCCGTGGAGTGGTAACCTTGATAGGTGATATGCAATCAGGGGATATAAAAAAAATAACGTACTGTTTTGCAAGTGGTTTGAGATCCAGGGGGGCTGCCAATATCCACACTATAAGCTCGATTACTACAGCTGGGATCATTCATATCATCGAAATTTCTGACAGGACTTTCAGGACTGCATGCTTGAAGACTTTTCAACACATGAACAGCACTACTCAGGGTTGTTAAGTAATAACTGAAAAGCAAAGTAGCTTAAATATAATTTTAAGATATCAAAACAAGCAGAATGAAAATCACTTAAAATGCAAGTAAATAATTTGGAAACTCAGAACAGTTAAAAGGCACATTAATGTTTGAGCAAGCAATATCTGATACATTTTCATCAAAGACAATTAGAGAAAACTACTAAAATCTCTTCTCTTTTCTTTTCGAGGGTGCCTTTATTGCATATAAAATGGAATACAGTTATTATTAAATTAAAAATTATAGTTATTAAATTATGGTTACAGTAATTATTGTTCATAAATACTAGGTTAAGTTTTTCTCATCTCAAACTCTAATTAGTACCATTTATAGTGATTTTTTAAATGACAGAAGATTAAAATCTAAAGAAAAATCTAGTTGTAATAAAAAATATTTATTATTTGAAAAATGTGGAAAAAATTGAAAAAAAGAACTATAATCTCCACATTTTTTTTTGAAGGAGCTTTTGTGACACACAAAATGGTTTATTGTTAAACCAAAAATTATAGTTATTGTTCATAAATATCAGGTTAAAGTTTTTCTCATGCCAAACTCTAACTAGCATTATTTATAGTGTTTTTATAAATGATGCAAGATTTAAATCTAAAGAAAAATCTAGCTTTATTAAAAAATATTTGTTAATTAAAAATATACAAAAAAAAATTGAAAAAAACTAAAATCTCACTTTTTTTGAAGGAGCTTTTCTGACATACAAAATGGCATACAGTTATTGTTAAATGAAAAACAATGGTTATTGTTCATAAATTATAAAATAATGAAAAAAATAATAAAAATAATTAGATTTTACATTAGAGACAAGATGCAGAAATTCGCAAGCTATAATATCACATTGAAAAATATCTAGTGTAAAAACCATGAGGAAATGTGTAACAATATTTAGGCAAATTTGCAATTAAATGGAGCGTGTCAAAAATGATTGTAATTACATGAGTAATATCGTTATTGCACTAATAAAAACATCCAGATTTTTTTTTTAAAAAAAATGCGGCAATCACTGCTAAAACAATCGTTAAGACTACAATGAATTATGATGTGAATAAATTATCACAATAAAAAGTTATTACTCAAACATGCAGTTCGAAATTTGCGTATTATAATAAAAATATCAATATTCTGAAAATTATGAGGAAATTCATAGCTACAACTGTTGGATAAATCATTGATAAGTGCATCAAAAAGTGATTACTCGAATAATCAATGCAAAAAGCGTCGTTACAAGGATATTCTAATAAAATTATTTGGATTTAAAGAACAATATGTTGTGCTAATTGTCGAATCAATGAATAAGATTACATGAATTTATGCTCTAAACATAGCTAATTGAGTGAATAAAAAATTATTCAAAGTTTGGGTATCGCAATATTGTATCAAGAATTGAGATTATAAGAGCCACATGAAAATACGTATACAAACTGTTAAAAAACAAGGTCAAAAACCATGTGGATTTATGATGGAATTTAATAAAATTTTTTTTAAACATAATTTTGACATTGCTAATTTAATAAAGATATCTAAAATTCAGAATTTTCAAAAATCCAGAGCTTCCAAAATTTCGGGCGACATTTACAAGGCTAATAAATCAAGGTTTATAAAAAAAATACTATAAAAACTCAAATCATCAATATTAAGGATTACACCCAACTCAAATAACTGGGTATATTGGTTAAAAATGGTCATTTCATGATAAAAAAAGATTTTCTTACATATTAATACAGATTTCATACATATTACACACATTATAACAACTGACACAGCATTATAAACAAAGTATGTCTGGACCCGCAATTGAGTGCAAAAGTGCCATCACTGATCATTCACTTCCCACACGCTTGACCAAAAGCATTTGTATGGAAGAGGAGATACTTATAATTTATTTTCTAAAAGAGGCTGCTAGGCAAAAAATTGTAATGACAAAAGTGTTCCTTTTCTATAATATAGATGCAAATTTCTTTTTGTATAATATACAATAAAATATTTTAATGAAATTAAATTAGTCAACATAATATAACAAAAAAAAAAGAAAAAAAAAGAGAGATGAAAACTGGATTTTAATTTGGAGAAAAACCCTTATTTATTTCTACGTTGAAATAATAACAGTTTGTCTTCAAATTTCAAAAGATTAAGTAAAAAATAATGGGTAGTAAAAATTATAATTTGGTATAATATGCTATTACCCTCCTTCCCTTGCCATCAGAGAAGGATGAAGTAAGCCCCACATATAATCTGCTTCGATTTCGGCAGCTATGAGACCACATCGGACAATCACACAGATAAATATTGGAAGAAAATCTAGAGTAAAAAAGGAACATATGAATACATTTTTTTTCAGAAACTACCAGTTATAAAAATATTGCACACAATAAAATGCATCCATTACAACCATAATTCTGATCTACCAAATTTTAGACTCAATTGGATAAGCCCATTTTTGTAACAAAAGAAATCTGATTTAACAAAAGCAATTTAATACTGGACAGAGATAAAAAAAATTCACCCTGAATAACTTTCAATCTAGTTTTTAGTACAGGAAAAATCCTATAATTTATCTTAAAAATTCAAAAGGTTGACTTTAAATATGCTAATTATTTAGTGCTATCCATAAAATAAATTACAGAATCAGACATAAAAATGAAGTGGGTGCTTGCAGTGAGGAGGGTCGATTTGGCTGGCAACGAAATATGCGCTCTAAGTATGTTCCAAAGGTGTTCTATGGGATCGGGGCTCTGAGAAGACCAGTCCAGTTTTTGCACACCCATTCCGCTAAACCACGCCTGTGCAAGCCTCGATGAGTGAATGGAGCAGTTATCTTGTTGGAAAAGAAATGGGCCTTCCCCGAATTCGGTCATTCAGTTAAGAGTGCAGAATTGTCCACATACATCTGAGTTTCGTTTCCAACCACAGGAATTAACGTACACAAGCCAAACCACGAGAAAAATCCCCATACCATTATGCTTCCGCCACCATAACAAAAGAGTGTCAGAATACTTTTGGTCTCATAGTGTATTTTCCCAACAGATATGGGTTTTTGATCATCAAAATATGGAGGGTAGTCACGACCTGGGAGACACAGTCCCAGGCGTTAAGTCAGAGGAGTGGTTTAAAGTTTGGGTCTTTTACCATAGTTCATAAACCATTTAAACAAATGGAAATTTTTTTAAGTTAATGACTTTTTTTAGTGAATCAAAGGGAATGAATAATTCCAAGTATATCTGAATTATTATTTAGCATATTTAAAGTCCACACTTTGAACCATTAAAAACGAAAGCTATTTGAAAAAAAATAAAGAAAATATAAAGAATTCGATAAGTTGTACTAATCAGCACATTATATTATGAAAAATTATTTCCATTAAAAAAAAAATAGAGTTCGTACTTTCTAAAAAGCTAACCATTGACTTTAGGTGTATTTAAAAGAGTACCAACAAAATAAATTGGATTTATTGCTATACCTCCAGCGCCTAGGGATGCATCTTCTTTTCCTTGTGACAATTTGCTTTGTTGTACCTAAAATACAAGAGAAATTAATAACAAATGGAAAAAAAGCAAGTTAAATTAAAAAAGGTGTTCCAATCAAAACAAAAGAATTTTATTAGTAAACAAGGAATATAAATAATGCTATTTCTAAAATTTCAATAACTAATACAACTGTCATTAAATAACTTTCATATTGCCTTAAGAGTACAATAGATCAAAGCTCTCTGCAAGTCCTATTATGCTGCCTCATCGTAGCAGTGGTGGTGTCCCTTGGTGGAATGGGCGATACACGTCCAAAGATATTTTCTCCTGTCACGGTCACTCGAGGCATGAAGGTAATTTCATTTTACCAGCCAAAGCATAAAGGCAATGGACAAACTAAGCTGTGATGGCTCAAGAGATAGAACATTTGCCTTCCAATGAGGCAAACCGGGTCTGAATCCCAGCGATAGCTGGTCAATACAAATTCCGCATCCAACTTGCCCCGACCACAGTGGTGACGTAATAAAATATCCTCAATGAATGGATCATGGGTTAGAGTCACCTTGCTGTCAGGCAAACTGTGGGAGGTTTTCCTCTCCATGCAACGCAAATGTGTGCTATTTGATCCAGGAGTTCCCTTGTCTTCTGGATTGGGTTCAAAATTACAAGGCTACAGTGTTACCCATTTGTAGCCGTAAACCCAAAAATATCACTGATGATCAGTCTACCACTGGGGATATTTTACGTCAGCAATGTGGTAGGTGCGAGCCGCGTGCGGAATTCATATCCACCAGCAAACGCTGGGATTCAAACCCGGTTCACCTCAATGTTCTATCCCCTGAGCCACCAAGGCTCAAAGCTCTACTTATTTAACTAAAAGACGACATACAACATAGTATTAGCCAGTAAATTAAAAACAAACAACTTACAGAGTTGTAAATAGTGGAAATGGCTGCCAACAGATTCTCAAGTTTTTTGAGTGGAGAATATGCTTGTTGCAGACGACTAAAGAAGTGGTTGACAACTTCTAGAGAGGCTCCCTCTGGCAATTTAAATTCAGGCTGAAAAAAATGTTTCAAAAACCATAATTTCAAAGACAGATTAAGCCACATTACAAGTATGAAATAAAATAAATCAGAAAAATTTTTAGAACAGTATACATGTAGACTACTTTTAAAGAAGGCAAATTGAAAACAAATTTTTCTTTTTACTTTCCTCTACTTAAGTATAATAAAGGCGAATTTCACCACAAAAGGAATACATGATAATTGTAATTTCAGAATTACTTTATTTAGAACAGAAAGTATTAACAGCTTCTAGCATTATTTTATCAATATTGAACAACTCTTAACAACTTCAAGTCAATGCATTGAAAATTTTATATAGTACAGTCAGATTACAAAAACAATAACTACTATCAATTAGCTAATACTTCTTCATACTAATATATAATTACGAAATAGTGATTGAGTTCAAGATTCTCTTAATCAAATCAAATAATTTTAAAGTACGGTTTCAACAATCTCAAAATAAAAACGCAGTGAATATGCAATTTAACATTTTAGTACAAAAGTAATTTTTGTGGACAATCCTTCACTTCATTAAATAAAAATTCTACAATATGAGAATGGTTGTGTTGATTAGAGTCTGTAAATTTTAAAATCAGATAAAAGAAATAAACAGGGGGCATAGCCAAATCTTTCAACAAAAAATAAGTACCTTTTTATGAACTAAAAAAATTTGAAGCACTATATACATTAACAAAATAATTTTCAGACTTTACATGTTCATGATAAGATTTTTCGCGTCGTTTTTAGAGGGTGGAAATTGAGAATATCTTGCAGAATGCAGCAGAGTTGCACATGAGAGAACAAGAATCTCACCGAACTCATCTTTGTAGAACATGTGGAGTCTCAAATATTTCATCAAACATGTAAACATCATCATCAAACATGTAACCAAATTAAATTTTAAAGTAATAGCCGGAAATGGTGCTAATAAAAATAACATAATGTTATAAGCTAGAATGCATTCATTGCAAATTTTCAAAATTTTATTTTTAATATTCTTAACTATTGACTTCACTTGTTCTTGCATTAAGCCACACAATTTATTTTCAATACTTCTTAAAAATAATCAGTTTTAGCTTTACTCAAAACTCTTTAAACTTAAGCTTTTTCTAATATTTTTGTACTCTATTGAAAAGTGAGTGAAGGAAATAAAAAGTACTTTTAATCTCATTATTAATAACCAATTTCTTTTTTAAGGTTCATACTCAAATGAGGAGGATGAAAAAGTCCTTATAAAGGGCTTAAAAATAGTTCTTGGGAATTTAAAAGGAACCAATACAGACCTAAGAATCTAGGAAACAGAAAAATTATACTTTACCCTAACACCTAGTTCTTCAGGAGATTTTGTTCGAGCAAATTTTATATTGTCCGAAAGGAGCTTTAAAGACCCATTCCTAAAAGAAAAAAAGAATATTTACTAACTTGATTGCATAAAGAACTTTAACTCATTAAAACCACGAAACTTATTTTCTTCTACAGACATTAAGTTTATATCCTACTATACATTTAACTTAAAACTATTGAAAGGTGCAAAAGGAAGCAAAACAGAAAAGTAGTAGCATGGGATTGAAAAAATTTCTTATGTTAACTTAAGTGAAATTTTTTTTCAAGAATAATGCTGTAATAACTAGAATAATGCTGTAATAACTGCTGACCATTTAAAGTATGTTTCCAAAATCCTTTGCAAAAAAAATATCAGTGAGAAGAGCTTAGTGTTGATAAGGGGCTGGGGTGCACAGCTAAAATATGTTTGTTATTAATGTACATTGTACATTTAGGTAGATTTTCAGAAATTGTTAAGCAACAAGTTAGAAAAAAAAACAAGGTTTTAATGTTGGAAAAGTTAGTTCTTAATTTGCTTTCCAGCTGCACCTTTAGACCTTGTTTGCTGTTTCAACAAATCTGCTAATTGTTTTTGATAAAACATTAACTTTAATAAAAAATTTTGAAAAAGAATAAATGCCAGGTATTCCTTAATAACTGCCCACCATCTAAAGTATATTTCCAGAATCTTTTGTCAAAAAAACATTAGTGATGAGAAGAGAGCTTAACGTAGATAAGGGGCTGGGGTACACAGCTAAAATATGTTTGTTATTTAACACTAAAAAATTATACATTTAGGTAGATTGGCAGATGTTGTTAAAGAAAAAGATTTTTTTAAAAAAAATTAGATCTTGTTCATTGTTTTAATTTTGTAGCCACATGTTACAATTCTCAAAGCTACATAGTTTTGGTGCAGGAAGTCTAAAGCAGAACATCATTAAAATATGTATAATTTACCTGGTGTATTCATTCACAAACAGTTGATAAATGAACCCTTTTAATGGTTTAATGACTAATTTATGAAGAGAATCTTCAATGACTGCATCAATGTCTAAAAACTCATCAGATCTTAACTATAAAAGAAAAGAAACAATACAAATATAAGAAAACAATGTAGATTTATTTAAAAAATAATCATAACCTTATCAATCTTATATTAAATATCTTTTTTTCTGAGTTATTTTCAGGGGCTATTCATTATTAAAAGGTGGTGCTGACAAGAGTGAGGCCAGCCCTGGGCACATTTACGTAGCAAGATACTACTGTAGTCACTTAGTACATGTTAAATGCAAAAACAATTTCATTTTAGAAAAAAGTTTGATAAAAAATAAGATACTTATCTTTTAAGATATGCTTTATCAAAGCTATATTCCCTGCAAAATATAATTTAGAAAATAAAACAGAATTTTAAAGAAATTGAAATGTAAATTGTATTAATTCAAGCATAAAAATTTTTAAAATCAAATTATTTGTGGTAAATGCCTTAAAAGGTGGAAAGGAAAAATTTTATGAAAACCTATGGAAGGAGAGAGAAACATGCTTATTTTTTCTTACAATTAAGGAGAAAGAGTTAAATAAAACCAAAAATATAATTACAAAATATTTGAAAAGCCCCTAAAGTTAGATTGGCTGTTGCTAAATCTACTATGGATGTAATTCACTTTTTAAAAATAAAGCTACTTCAGATATAGCAAATTTGATGCATTGAAACAAACATGTTAAACATCTTCTACCATGCTTTTAAATTAAAAAAAAAATTATTGATGTTACTACAATATTTAAATGAAAATAGAGGATACTGAGATATTCCATACCAATTGTACAGAAAATGGTCATCTTTCAGGAATTGAAATTAATGGTGGTCTCGGATCACTAAAATTTGACTCTGGACAATATAAAAAAATTATCACTGACTTCCAAGACAAACAATTGATACAGAGTGGACGAAATCTGTTTTGGTTAGTTTCATTTTAAAATTTCTTGTTTTATTATTATTTTTTTAAACAGCATATTTTGGCATTATTGTAAACATTACACATTCTCAGTGATATAATTTTTCATGAAATTCACATAATCAACTTTTTTTTCTTAAAAAAAAATCTAATTAAGACATATAAATTTGGCATCTTTTCTTCATACGTGTATATATATATATAGATAAAAGATCGTCTCTATAACAATAACATCACATCAGCTCATCTTGATGCTCTGAAATCTTGTTTTACTGAATTTAATGCTGATTCTCTAGTTAACGACATTAGTTCCTCATCACCTCTCCATAACGGATGGAAATGCATTTTACCATGATTTGCCTTACCGCAACTTTGGTTTTTCTTCTTCTGGTTTTCACGTTTAATCTCTCTCTCCGCTTGTGTGGTTTTTCATGTTTTGTTTACAACCTTTAGTTTTCCATTTTTCACTGGCATTTAATTTTTTATTTCAAATCATTCTTATTTCCTTACATTCACATTAAGCAAATCTTGCGAATAGACATCTATTTTTGGGAGCTGGAAACATGTTGACTTTGTCATTTCTTAAAGTATACTTTTGAGGCCATGAAATTTTTTTATCATGTAATTTAACTGATTATGGAAGAATGGTAATTGAATTATGGTAATATGATTAGGGAAGATGGTACTAAAACAGGGTGCGTTGCCAATACAAAAAATAAGCACCTTTTAAGTACTTTTTAAACACCCAAAAATATTTTTAAGCGCTATGTACATTAACAAAATGCAAAATAATTTTCAAAGACTTCACATGACCAGGATAAACTAACTAGTTTCTGATAAAGAATTCTTTTTTAGATTGCATAAGCCATCATAAAATGATCAAGAGAATTTTCGGTTCGATATCACAGGGTGGAAAATGAAGTCTGAAATTGAGAATATCTTGCAAAATGCAGCAGAGTTGCACATGGAAATGCAATAATCTCACCCAACCCAGCTCCGTATACGCACATACCAATTTGTAAGTATTTCATTAAACATGTAAAATGATTGGCGATTTCATATGTCATGTACGGATGGTGTGCCGAAATGAATTGTGAAAATGACATGGACATGGTAAAGGAAAAAAAACTCATTTTTGAAAAGAGAAAATTAAGCACTTTTTAAAAACACACAATGAAAGAAGTACCTTTAACGTAAGTAACGAAAATCGATAATAAGCACCTTTAAGCCAGGGCTAAAGAGAATAGAAGGGCTAGTTCACTCCCCTCTTAGAGCTGAAGCTACGATTTCCCTCCTCATGACGTCACTGTGTCCACAGACCGCGGAAGATCGCACGCAAAGATATTATGATAACTTAGCATCTTTCTCTTTGTAAAAATAAGTTCGACTTTTTCTGGTTATTAGCTTTCAAACTTTACGTAATTAACACATTATTTCCATTCATAAACATAGCTTAAAAAAACTTTCTTGGCCATTATATTAAAAAAATACCATTTTAAACTCATTAAAATATTTTACTAGTTGGCGAAAATGACACTATAAATACTTTATTTTAAAAAGTTCAGTTTTAACTGTAATTATTAAGAAAAATGAAAGCATATATTGACACTTTTTTATCTACATATTCTTTTATAACAATAAGTTGAGTTAAATTTAGAATCCCCAATTTTAAAATATACCGTTAATAGCAATTTGTTCATACTTAATCATTAGGAAACATCAATCTTAAACGTTAATTACTGAATCAAAATAATTATTTAGGTTCATAATGACATTAGAAATTTTACAATTGTTTATAGATATTTAAATTTAAGATATAATTTATAGATATTTAAATTCAAGAGAATATAATTTTTAAATGAATCATAAATATTTAGAATAACTACATTAAAAAAATAAGTTATGAAATTAGGAGAATTTCAACTGTACACTATATATTTTATTTATACTTTTTACTTACTTTTAATTTTCTTTGACTTTATCCATTTTTTAATTTTTTTCACATGTCTTTCTTTTTGAAGTAACGAGGCGGTTTCTATTTGGAGAACAAATTTTTATTAAAGTTCTTAACGATAGAAAAAACGTATTGCTGTTTTATATTAACTGTGTCATTTCGGAATCCATTCTTTACATAGTTGTTCATTTACTTTAGGGAACACGCAGAAAATTATATTTTCTCCTTTTGTTTTTCTATCAGAATTTTTGCAAGTTGCAATCGCGCAAACTGGCATTTCGTTAATAGTTTTAAAATTTTGTAAATTCACGGCAAAAACTGAGGAAAGTCATTATAGAAAATAAAAAATGTCACAAAAAGAAATGCTCCAATATTAGTTAGTGCTAGTAAGACCGAACGCTCTGTTCTTGAAGTAAAAGTGCGAGCTTTGCGCCAAAGTGACGTCACTAGAGAAAATCGGAGGAATGGCGTGGCGAGAGTTTCTTCAAAGGAGTGAACCAGCCCTTTAAGCACTTTTTTAAAAATGCTATGCATTATGTAAATGATTTCACCCACAAAACACATATTTAGTAATGGTCTTCAAATAGAACATTTTTTTGAGAAGAAAAAAATCACATACTTTGCCTCTTTCTTCTTGTAAAAGATTTTCAAACCTTCCTTCACCATGCTTTAGAAGATAGTTTTTAATGCCACTCATGAACTGTCGAATCTGGAACATACCATATTTGAATCATTACAATAGTATGATAGATTTAAAAAAATACGCTCTCTAGCAATGGCAGTGTCATGATTAGACGCTGACCATGAAGCTTCCTAGCCAAGGCTGGAGACAGAAACAATATCTAAAAGTGAATAATTAATAATAAGCAGTTGAATCGCTGCTGGGCGAGGACATGAGAAGCAGGGATTGCAGAGCCGGGGGGGGGGCAGAGAGGGGCTTTAGTATAGTAAATAATAAGTATTTTTTAACACTTAAAGTATGCATTCAAATTTATTCAGTCTGCAAAAAATCGTCACTTACATTTCTCATAACAACTCCAGGTTTGGTTTCAGTGCTTTCTTTAGTACACTGAATGAAGTGTTCAATTGACTTTGCAAAAGTGTTGTCCCGTTCATCTGCCAGCCTGTAAAGAGGTTGAGTATATCAAACATAAAAAAAAAATATTTTTTGGCTACACAAATGGCTATGTTGGAAACCATACCTAAATATATAATGTCTAATATTTTCACCAATTTTGGAAGCACTTCTGTTTCGCAAAGCAGCAACTCTTTGAGCTGCTGTAAATAAGAAAAGGCAATTTTACAAAACAAAACATAATATTTAAAGAAAGTTACTACAATATAGGTAAAGTAAGTTTGAAACTTTAAATTCTATTAATCCACTTTAATTATTACAACAGATTAAATTCTCGAATATTTTGTAACAATATATCTACAGGTTAAGTTTTCATAGAACATGACTTGAACTGCATAATTGTGCAAACTTTATAATTTACAACTGGCCGCATGTTTTCCAAATATCCATAAAAGTTTAATTGTCTGTCTAATGTTAGTTAGGTTAAAAACCTGTCGAAAAGTATCAAAACTTGTATAAACTGTTGAAATCTGACATCGAATTGTGCATTTTAAAACTGCGCTTGATTTGTGTTGATTTCATCGCAAGTCAAAGATTAATTGATTTTAGCAGTTCTTGCCAAGCTCGTTCATGCGGTTTTGAAAATGCCACTATTTTCAATTCAATATCATGACTCGCGAGTTTTGAATAGAACATTTTAATAATCACTTTTACTTACCTTATTTTTGCTAATTTTGTCAAGTAAAAAATTTTTTCTATTATTTTTTTGTAGTTTTTGCATGGTTTACTCATTTTCACAATCTTTTTTTTTTTTTAAATATAGACAGTACAAAAGTTTAAATCTTCGATTTTTACGTTGTTGGATAACTTAAAATACACAATAGTAGACAATTTTTGGAAATACAGTTGAAAATTTTTTTCTTCTTCTAATTTCCTTAATTTTTCTAATTTTTTAAAAAAATTCTAATTTTTTATTGTGCCAGGCACAATTTTTAGGACCAACAGCCTTAAAATATTTTAATGATGGAAAATTATTATTAAGCAATATAGCTAGTACAAAGTGAAATATAGCTTTAAATTATTATATATACTGCATAAATGTAGAAAAAATTTCAATTAAAAGGATTTAAATTAAAGATGGCTACCAAGCAATGGATCCAATCTCTCTTCAAAGCTTTTATACCTAATGGCTCGGCACTCTGATGCAGAAGTATCATCATTGCCATCACTAGTTAAGTCACTGTACGCACTAACGGTAGAGTTACTTTCTGTATCTTCATTTTGAGAGATGTCAGATTTCTGTGAAAAGAATCCTCATTCTTAAATGTAAATACCAAAAGGCCGTAAAACACATTTAATAATAACCAAAAGTACACATTTAGAGAAATTTTCAAACAATGAACATTTCTGAATATTTGCGATTATTATAATTGAAAAAAATTTTTGTACACCAATTTGTCGTTTCAAAATAAGTGACAAAAAATTACTATGGATGGTGTTTTCAATATAAATGTATACGACAACAATCTGGAGCTATTGACCATCTCAAGTTCTCACTAGAAAGTATGCAGCTGCTTATTACAATTTATTTTGTGAGGCAATATTTTCAAACTGATAATTTTGTTATTAATAAAATAAATAAACTATATAACTTCAGAGTTCAAATCTGCTGTATTTCATAAGATATTAAATAATTCTGGCGAATTTGAAGTGAAAATTTGTTTCGGTTATTTAGAGATTTATTATTAAAAAAGGCAACATGGTTTCTGGATTTAGAAAGAACCCGCTCTGATTTGACCTTTTTTTACTTGTTCGTTACTTTTTGTTCTTGGAGCATGCCCTGCTCCATCATACCTTAGTGTTATATGTATTAAGTTCATTTTACAAATTATCATTTACGTTTAAATTTCAAAGTTGGTATATTGTTAACAAGTGATTTATAATGATTTCTTTTTCAAATGGCAATTCTTTTAAGCACAAATAATAAATCGGGTAATAAATACACGCATACAAGGAATACAACTTAAGAGAGTCTCAAAATACAATGATCACATTATGAACGAAATGTCTTCAAAACACACTAAAAACAGCAACCCAGAAGTATAGGAAGTCAAGAGCTTGTAGCACTCCCTAGTGTAGTAAACACCATCCATAAGTAACATGTGGTACTTAACAATTACATGGTAACAAATCACGACTAAATAAGCCTCAAAATAAAAGTTAGAAAACTATTACGGAAATTATTACCAGAATTTTATTTAAAAATTTAAAAGCTACCAACAAAAGTTTATCACACTAAAATATAGTAACGGGGAAGTTTTTATATAACAGATAAAAATCTTAGAACAGGAAAAAAAATCTTGACCCTTTCATTAAATTTTTTAATGCAATGTATTTAAATATAAATACTTATTTCCAAACAACAACTAGAGGCCAAAATTTTCTTCACGCAAATCGTATTTCCAGCTTCCTGGCATATAAAAATTCTAAATTTTTTGTGTGCCAGGAACAATTTTTAGGAGCAAACAGTCCTAAAATATTTTAATGAGGCTTAACTAAGTAATTATAAACCTATTATTAAGCAATATAGCTAATACAAAGTGAAATATAGCTTTAAATTATTATATAAACTGCATAAATTAATAGGCAAAATTGAAGCAAAAATACATAATATGGTTTATTTGAACAGCTCGCTTTCATCATCTACATTCTTCTTAACTTATATTTAAGTTGCTTTTAGGTCTAAGTAGCCATTATGATAAAAAATTTTCTTATTGGACTTGTGTCAGAATATGGCAGGCAGGTACTTTATTTACCTTGCACTACAGCTGCACAATGGGCTATTATGAAACACCCATGAGAATAATCTGAAGACATACCATCACAATTTTAATTCTCTGCAGAGGGGATGGCTACTCTGCCTTAGTAGCCTGGCAACCTGCATGAAAAGTCTAGCACTTTATAATGAGGACTGTTAACACGCAACCCCGGTCCCTATGTAGGCTGATCAAAGTGGTCACCCACCCACTTACTGACCACAGCCAGTGATGCTTGACTTTGGTGTGCTACTAACCATTGACAGAATATGCATTAGTATATTATATAATATAGATTGATACAAGATAAAAATTTAAGCTACTAACAATATCAGTTTTCTGATTATGCTCCAACATGTAGTTTCTTTGATTTTCTATTTTCTCTCGCTGAATCGTGTCGTCATCAGCCAAGATATCAGTTTCAGGTATAATTAAGCGTAAGAGCCTCTCCCAACGGAGACTGTCCCAAGGTTCACAAAACTCTGTCGCAGCATCATCAACAATTTCTCGCTCCACCTGCAAGCTTGAAACCTCCTTCTCAGGAGAGGGGGGATTATCTAAATTATCGTATTCAGATGCGCGGATGACATTATTCTGAGGGACAATTCCAGTAAGGGATAAATCTGGAGATTGTAAAGCTATGATGTCCTCAACGGTTGTTGTGTCTCCTAAAATACAGTCTGACTTGGGGTACTTTACGTGCAGAGGGAACCGGGATCCCAAAGTACCTGGTACAATCTCTTCCTCACTGCTGCTGTCGTCATGAGCCATCCATTCCCAAGAGGAATCTAATGGCCAAGCACTTTTGGATTTTTCAGGAGAGGAAAGCTTCTTGTGCTCTGTTTTCAAATTGCATAAATCCCTACTTGATACCTGAGTTTGACAATCTTTTTTTACTGCAGCGTGAGTCAAGTCTTTAACCCAATGGGCATCCCCTTGCTGCTTTTTATGGATTGGAGATGGCCCAAGAGCTTTAATATTATCTACACTGGAGGAAAGACTAGTAAGACGGTCCTCGACAAGAGTGGCGTCTATCTTGCGGCACTGAGAGTTTTGAGGCCAATGAAGATTTGGATCAGAGAAACGATGATTAAAAAGTCTGTCGGGCAATTTCTGTTCAGAATTAACAGAATTTGAGCGGTTGATATTTTCCAAATGGGTAGGGAGTGAATCGACAGGCTCAGAATAAAATGGACTAGATATTTTGTTACAACTTTTCAATGATGAGCTTTCCGAATCACAATTCGAATCAGACTTAAGAAGGTGGTGCTCGGAAGCGGGTTCCGTTTGAGTCCCTTGCGTAAAAGTGCACCGGAAGCTTGCAATTATCTTATCACTCGGCAGTTCAACGATTTGTCCCATTAAGTTCTCCTCATTAAGGCTCTTTACGAAAGATTTAGATAATTTTTCTCTCTCTTTTCTCATGGTATTGCCCCATATGTCTTCATAATCGCTCATTTTATCCGCAAGGCTGCTTTTATAGTAAGCAGGTGGTAAGTCAACTATGTTTGACTGTTTATAATGAGCAACTTGAGGGATTTTTTTACTTCCTTTGAGATCAGAAGTGAATGACTTTTCTGAACATTGTTCCTCTGGGAAGTCTTTAAAATTGCTGCTCTGGGAAGAAAGATCAGGGGAACTTTCAGAGCTGCCTGGTATATCAGAGGTCAAGGGATTGGTTTGGGTCAAGGCTTTGGAAGGCAAGAAAGAACGAGGTGGGGGTGGAGGTGGTGCAGCATGTCCTAAATATTTTGGTCTAACAGGAGGAGGAGAGCTTCTGCTGCTTTGTGAGGTGTCGTCGGATAGCTGCTCTTTGCCATTGGACTGCAAAGTTGAAAGGGAAGATGAGCCATTTTGTAATTTTGGAGCACTGGGGCCTGGCTTGAATGTGGAATGTGTTATGTTTTCAGAAATATCCGTAACTGGCAATGTAGAGGAAGGAGCATTTGGACTCTGAACTAAGCTGGATAACCAGAAATCTGAAAAAGAAAAAAATAACACAATAAAACATAAATATTACTTTTAAAAACATCAATAGAATTTGTCTAAGAACTCCCTAACTCAAAAATATATTGAATTTCTAAAAAAACTGTATGAATGTTCAAAGTTATAAAGGACTTAGTTCATTACTTGTATTAGATTTTGTCATATGAACAATTTAAAAAAATTAATAAATTACAACTTACAATAATACTAAAAAGAAATATTTCAAGTAACTCAGTGAGATACAGTCAAGCCTTTTTATTTAATTTATTAAAACTCAGCAATTCATAAAATAAAGAGACTAGAAAATACAATGCTAAGACATAGTATAGTCATTTGTCGCATATATATTTATTATAAGATGATTGAGTAGAATAAGAGAGTGCCTAATAAAAAATTATATATTTAAGCATTATCCTATAAAAATATTATTCACTTTTACGAGCAAAGAATTACTAATTAATTCCTTTGTACTAATTTTATTATCATTGTAGATATTGACATTACCTTGTCCTAAGAGAGCCAGTGATGACAATTCTTGTCTTGAGGAGGCAGCATGAGCAAGAGAGTATGGCAATGCTAGTTGCACGGGTAATTCATCACTGAAATGAGAACTCTTGTTAATGTGGATGAACAGGGTTGTCACTTAAATCTAGAAAAAAAATTTCCCCCTGTTTTCCCAGAACATATTATACACAATATATTAAGAGGAAACACAATTACTGTGCTCTTGTGTGACCTATATTGGGTAACTATACTAGTTTTAATTGCTGGAAAAACTTAAGGAAAAAAAAGGAACAGCTGTACACATGAAAATAATGCTATCGTAAATGAAATAGCTTAGCATAACTGAAATATCCCGCTTTGAGTAATCACCATTTTTTTAAAAGACGGAAATAAGAAACAAAATTCCCAGTTTGTAAAGAAAAAACTCAAAATTCCCTACATTTTCCTTGTTATTTTAGGGGTAACCCTGATTAATGAGGAGCTATGAAAACAGTATAAATTTCTTTGTCCTTGCAGAAAAGAAATAGGCTACCATCCTAGACTTTTTGTGAAAAATCTACAAAAAATTTTCTAATAGGATACCTGCAAGTGACATAGTAAGGGTATCTTGATCCTGATTGGTTGTTAAAATGTGACATAATTTTTGTGTCATGCACACTTCCTCAAATTATTACTCTCCAAAAGAAGCGTTCATGATAGTTTAAATCTTATTAAAATTAAAAATTGGCTGTTATGGAAGTAACAAACCGTATAACATTCATTTACATTTTAAAAAGTTTAATTTCATCTCTAAAATTTTTATTTAATTTTTAAATTTTTTTAAAATGGGAGTAAGTGTACAAGACACGAAGACAGTTTAACTATAATTGTTAAAACTGCTAGATTTGAAAAAAAATAAGCGCCTTCTAAAAACGCTATGCAACATGTAAAACAAGATACGTAGCATCAAAATTCAATTCTGTAATGATAACTCACCAGCACTGACAATAATGAGCTACCAACATAGGGATGGCATGAAAATTGTTGTCGGAGCCTTCCAATCGCAACTGAGCATCACCCACAGTTTCAATTAAGTAGTGCTCCACATAAGGTCCTTTGTTTTCAGGCAGCCGAACAGACAGGGCCATTGTATTGGGCTTGCTTGACTGACGCACAATGAAGTTCTAACAACACAAGTCATCATTAGCATTTGTATAAAAAGACAAACATTATATTTTATGCACAAACTAATCTACCTACAATTTTTAAAAAAACCCCAATTAACTGACACTTTCAATACTTTTTAAATCAAAAAAGGGTGAATCATTACTGTAGTAAAATAAGAAAGATTTATTAATGATAGCTTACATATAATCACAATCCTGACATTTTAGTCGTCAACATTCAAGCAAATTATATGAGTAAAATGCATTATTAAAATTTAGTAGAAAGTATGATTAGAAAGTATACTTAAATACTTTAATTCGAAACTAATTATGCTCTTGTAACTTAAAAATAACAAATAAAAAACAATGAAACTTAAGAGCTATTACAAATTAATGTTTCACTTTGTATTGCTTAGGTATACGTGGAGCTTTGTTTTATTAAACAAACCATAACTTTTTAGAAAGGAAAATATTAAATTGTTTTAATCAATTTTTCCTACCAAGCGAATTTTAAGCATTACGCAAATACCTCAACTTTTATATTACTAGGGGTGATTGTGAGCCCAACTCAAAATTCCTGAAAATTTCTTGAGTAAAATCATAAATGACAGAGTTCAAAAAATTAATATCTTTATAAATTTAAATCATTGATATTTTCAAAACACGAAATTTTAAATAAATTAAATGCTGCATAACTTAAATGAATAATTATGTACAAGTTTACTTTTCTCACTAATCTCATTTATTATTCTACCAGAAAAAATATTTACAAATGCGATGCCAAGCATGAATTCTAGTTCTAATATTTTTAAATAAAATATACAAGAATTTTTATAAATAAAGGTGATAGATGATTTCTTGGAATTTCTGAGCTTTGAACTTCCGGAAATTTTCGGATCACGGTTAGCGAAAAATCCAGATTTTTCTGGAGCACAATCACCCCTGATTATTAAAATTAAGCAGAAAAATTGATTAGAAAGCATACTTAAATACTTTAAATCGGCTCTCGTAACTTAAAAATAACAAATGAAAAACAATGAAACTTAACAGTACAGTTATTACAAATTAATGTTTTACTTTGCATTACTTAGGAATATGTGGAGCCCAGTTTTATTAAACAAACCATAACTTTTTAGAAAAGAAAATATTAATTTGTTTTAATCAAATTTTCCTTCCATGTGCATTTTAAACATTATGCAATTACTTAAATATCTAATTTTTTATTATACTTAGAAAAAATAACAACTAGAACTTAAACTGCTGACAAAGCTTTCTTTACAATTTTTATAAAATTTGTTGCATAAGAGCATTTTTTAGAAAAAGGATAAGTTTGATGATTACCCCCACTTCTTTTCCTTGCAACAAATGTACAGCTCCAGCTCGGCCAATTCCAGGCAAAAACCATATAGGGTGTGTGCGTATTAAGCGTTCCAGAAGACCAATGTCACAAGGTGCAAAACTGCTACTTGTATGACTGCTTTCACCATCCGATGTTTCTTGGACTGAACTGACTGATGAACTACTCACCATAGCAGACTTCATTAAAAATAAAAATATTAATGTATATCAGACAAATAAAAAGTTCAACTAAATGTAGTGCAATAGAATAAATAGATCACAAATTTTAAACTTCGTATAGGGTATCTGCTACATTTTAGATTTTCAAATTCATGACTTTTCATGATTTTCCATGACTTATTCCAAGAATTTTTCATGACTTAAAGAAGTTACTATTTTCTCCGACAAAAACGTAACAATAAATTAAAAAAAGCATTATAATAACATTCATTGAATGATAGGTACAACCAAAACTGCTATACTCTGCATCTTCATATTTAAAGATGATAAATTTAAAAAACAGAGTAAAGAAAGAGTTGAAGCAATAAAATAGCTGAAATAAAAATACAAAAGCAAATTTTTTTCTTCGTTTTTTCTGCAGAATTATATTCTGAAGATACTTTTCTTGTTCATCAGAAAGTAAAGAAATACTCCTTATTTGTCTGTTCTCATTTCGAAATAAAAAAAAATCGCCAATAAGTGGCTTGCTTCGGCTTGAAATTTAAATTGATAAAAAAAATAAATAAATGATAAAAATTCTTAAATCACAGAAGTTTAAAAGATAGTTCGCTCTAGAAATGATGTTTTTTCTTTCATTTTTTTAAAGAACATAATTTTTAATGAACATGATAAAGACATTTTATATTCTAATAAAATATGATTGTCAGTAGTGATTCTGTTAGGAATATTAAGAACACGATGAAATTGTGGGGGGGGGGGTCCATTTTAAAAATTAGATTTTTCGGCGACCTAAATCCATGACTTTCCATGATTTTTTAAAAAAAAAATAGTGAAAATCACGACATTCCATGACAAATTTAGTTCAATACCGAAGTTCATGACTTTCCAGGTGCACAGATACCATGTTTTTATCAAGTTAATTTGATTAAGTGTTAAAAAAAAACTTTTGGTTATTTTACTCATGGTTCAGTATAAAGCAATCTAGTTTTAATTCTTCAAATTTTGCTTATCCATTTGTCTTCCAGAACATAAATTTGCAAGTCGTGCACAATATTTAGAGCTTACCAAATATGTGTGAATAACTATTTCTAAAAATGTATAGTAAAAAATACGATTTTAGACTATTCTTTATTAAATCTATTCAAATTTAAAAAAAAATTTGTTGAAAAATATCTTTTTACGAAATACTTTAGCAAGGGTCTGTCTAGGTTTTTCTGAGAGGTACCTATTTTGTGAAAATTTAGACATAATTTGTGAAAATTAAAAATTGTATTAAAAAATCATCACAAAAATATGACAAAAATATGGATTTATCGTTTCTTACGGGATACAAAAATAAAATTTTAAGGAAAAGTATTTTCTAAAAGTACTGTTTTTCCTAAAGTTGAATTTGTGAAAGTACCGCTAAATGGTAGTAAATTTGGCCTGGACAGACCCCTGTTTAGCGAATATTTAGCAATACTTTCGACCAAACGAATATTCAAGGAAAGGGTAGAATACTGAATAGTGGTTGAATATTCATTACAGCCCTACTTTGGCTTGAATTCTTTTTAATGACATAGGATTACTTTCCTTTTTCGATTTATTAGGAGCTTCCCCACATTTTTGCACTAAAATCATAAATAAATAAAAATAAACAAACAAAAATAAATAAATATAAATAAATAAAAATTAATAAATAAAAAAAATAAGTGAAATAAAACAAACAAAACTCAACATGAAGCTTAACCTGTATAGTCACAGGTAAAGACACAACAATGCTAAACACAAAGTGATAAGTAGATTCTTAATCAAAAGTGACATTTAGTGTGCATAGAAATTGTCAACTTTGCAGCTTCCCCTATGAATGATTTGCCCCGCTTTGCTGTAAAATTTGATTTTCAAATGTATATAAAATGACGATTTGATCGAATTGCAGGTGATGGAAATGTTTGATTAAAACCTTTAAAAAACAAAAACGCATTTCCAAAGTTTGAGAGGATAGCCAATTTTGCAACTGAATGATACAATTATAAAACTATATATTATAAGCTAAAAAATGCCATTTAAAATCATAAAAGAAAAAATTTCTTTAAATTTTTTTTCCATTAAATTTCTTTAAAAACATTTATTACTGCTATAGTCAATAAAAAAGGAAGAATAAAATTTTAATTAGTAACAACAGTTATAAACAGTGAGAAAGTGATTAGATCATAATTTTGCCAAAATAGTTTTTAATAAGCAAATATACAGAGCATAAAAAGAATTTTACATAAATAATCTTTGAATCAATTATAATTGCATTGTAATGCACATCATTTGATAACTTTAGTGACAATTTTAACTGACTGTATTCAAAGTTAAGAAATTAGATCAGATCACTTCGAAATCCGGAGAGGGCATAACTTTTCGAAACTTTTCTCTAGAAGCATTTGATTTCAGAAATTATGTTATCGTGTCTGAATAACTTATAATATCATTTTCAGAAAAAAATTATCCTATTTAGGATTAAACCTTTGAACCCTTCATACAAGGAAAGGGATTTCCTCCGTGTTAGCCCACGAGCCCAAAACTTCATTGAAATATTTTCTGTCAAATCTAGTTACCAAATTTTAAATTTCGAAGATGTAGGTCAAAATTCTTAAATGTTCAAGTTTTAAAATACTAACAACTTTAAAATTAGGTAATAGAGAACATTTCAATAAATAAAAAGAAAAAAAAAGTATTCATAAAATATTAATTAGTTGCTAAATAAATAATGAAATTCCAGACACACAATTCTCTTAGGTTAATATGGAAGAAGTCAAATCTTCTTCTATGTTAACCTAGGAGAATTGTGTGCCTGCAATTTAACATGGAAGTCAAATCTTCCATGTTAACCTAGGAGAATTGTATGTCTGGAATTTAACATGAAATTTGGGTCAACATGGAAGAAGTTAAATCTTCCATGTTTGTAGGAGCATTTTTAAATCAGCATTTTAGTACGTGAAAGTCTGAATATTAGATCGAAAGTTATTAAGCTGTTAAATGAGAGTGAATTGAAAGTTAGTCAAAGTCAAGTACCATGTAGGAGCATTTTTGAATCAGCATTTTAGTATGTGAAAGTCTGAACATTAGATCGAAAGTTATTAAGGTGTTGAATGACAGTGAATTGAAAGTTAGTCAAAGTATAAATATTAGTAAGGATGGAAGTATTAGAAGCAGTTAGAGAGAAGCAAAAGGTACCTGAGCCTCCAAAGACTCAGAAGCCTGCATGCCCATGAGGTGCGCAGAATATTCAGCAGGATACTGCACAGAGCAAGGAGGTGGAGCAGGAGGCGGAGGTGAAGAAGAAGAAGCACTAGTGGGTGTTGTTTTACCGTCATAGCTGTCAGATGTTGGGGTCTCTGCGAACAGGGACTTGCTGCTTCTATACTCGCCGCTGACGTTCTCAGACCCAAGGATTTGGACATCTGATCCAGCTCTTCGCATGAACTGCTCCAATACAGAGGCACGGCTGGAAACAGATAAATTATTGTTAATATATTTTCTGATAGGTAAGTAGGTACTTTATTTACATCGCACTACAGCTGCACAATGGGCCATTGGCAACAGTCTGGTAAACATCCCTGAAGATGATCCGAAGACACAACATTGCAATTTTTCATCCTCTGCAGAGAGGATGGCACCCTTGCATGATGTCAAAAATCAAACCCTGGCACATTACCCTAGCTAATAAGCAGATAAACTGATTTTCTTCAAAATGCGGAATCAAGAGTTTTCAACATTTTAGCTAGGTAATGTGCACATTAACACTTCTGTATAGTCAAGTTTAAAAGTTTGCTTCTCTTATTCTATCATTTAATTTGTTGATTGTTTTGACTAGATTTTTTAGAAATTGAAAAATAAATTTAATGACATGTTAATTTCCTTAGCTGCAACAGTATTTTTAAATCAGTTGGTCCTTCACATTATAGTTTTTAAATAGCGAGTGATGATTGGTTTTACCAACTAATAAGTTGATTGTTTCATTGTGGTAACCTGATTTTTCAGATAGCGAAAAATAAATAACATGTTAATTTAAACATACAAAAAAGTTGCTACATTTTTAGGGCTACAAGTAAAGTTTTGATACATTATGCATAAACATGTAAGTTAAAAAGAGAAATTCAAAATTGTAAATAATATAAGCACTTACATTTAGCGAAGTATATAAATCTTAATCTAAAGAAGATTTTTTACAAAACCTTTATTTATAATTACTTAAACTATACACACTCAATATACTGCAGTACTGGCAATAGGATCATCTGTTGAGGAATAAGAGAAGTATTTTTTCCATTAGTGGACATTTTATCGCCAATTTTCTTCAACAAATACGGAAAAATTTGAGAATATATAGGTAAACAGGAGAGAGTTGTAAATATAGGAGTCTTCGTTAAAAAACAGCAGACTTGGCAGGTATGCTTTCAATATGCAGAAATGAAAACCATAAATTTCAAGATTAATAGTGAGGACAAATGATATAAAGTACGCACTTGGCAAAGGATTCGTGGTCCAAGATGATGTCGTCTGTAAATCCATATTCCTCCCTTAGTGGTGACGGTATTGCATCAGGGAACAAATCCTGTAGCATCAAATCTAAGTCATGGGCAACACCACTAATCAGCTAAAAGATAAAAAATATTAAATCTGGAAACATGAAATTAAATTTAAAAAATATCATTTATTATAAATTTCGTTATCAAACTAATTAGAGCAATTTTAAATTTTTTAGATTTTGAACATTAAAATTTTACAGTTAAACTTTAGAATTAAGGGGTAAAAATTATAGACATTAAGAGATTAAAATTATTGACCTCTTCCTTTTATTAAAAACCTAAAATTCAAATCTGTCCACATAAAAAACTTATGACAAAAGTCCGTTTTAAATATCTTGAACGAAAAAAGTTTCTAGAATATTTCTAAGTAGTTTTTGTACTCTTTTGAAAAGCTTTAAATGATAAAAGGTTTCCCACAAATACCATTTTGTAAGATAAAACAAAGTTTAATAACAATTATTGTTGCATATATGACATTATATAGAACTGCACCCTATTATATCATTATTTATTTCCCAATACCATCGCATTTTGTTGTCAGGACCATCATTTTAGGGTATTACCATTTGTTTTCAAATTTTGTTTTTTATTACAAAATGGTATTTGTGAAAAACACCTTATCATTCAGAGCTTTCACTATGAAAAAAAGTACAAGAACTACTTAGAAACTATGTTAGAAACTTTTTACATTTTCAAATCGGACATTTGTCATAAGTAACGATATACGATTCTAAACAAAATTATGAAAAAGTTTTGTAAATGCGCAGAAGTAGGAAAGGATTACTTTAAATACTCATATCTTGTGCAATTTTTACCCAATTTTTTTCAAATTTTAAAAGGATATTTATATTATAAACTAAAAATTACTCTAATTTTTTTTTTTAATTTTATGGAATATTATAGCAGTTCACTAGTAAGAAAACGTAAGTAAAAAAACATTAGTTTTTTTTTATATAAAAATGTACATTAGCTTCATGAATATTTAAGCTAGGTTCACAAAAACTTTGAGCTGCAATTGCATAGAATAAGAAACGTATTTCATATAAGCTACAAGCTTATCGCTATATTTCTTAGTATAGGGGGTTCAAAAACATTCTTTTTATTAAATTACAAACGAAAAATAGTGTTTTTAAGCACCCTTAACCATAAGATGTAACAATAAATTTGTAATTTTTAAAAACTATTTTGGTTACTAAATGCAATAACTGCACAAAAGTAAGTAAGCCTAGCTAAAATATTTATAAAGATATGGACATTTTAATAATAAAAAGAAAAAAAAAAAAAACTATTTTTTTGTCGTGTATTTTTTTTTTTATTTGCTGTAAATTTAAAAATATTCAATAAAATTAAACAAAATTTTTAGAGCAATTTAAAATTAATAAAATTTTTTTTTTCAAATTTGAAAAAAATTTGTGCAATGTATGAGTAATTCAAGTAGTTATTTTATACTGTGCTCGCGTGGGAAAAAATGAAAAATTTTTCCTCATAATTTTGTAGTGAAACGTATTTGGCAACTAATGAAAAGAGTCCGATTCGAATATCTCAGCAATTTAAAAAGTTTTAAGCAATTTTCTAAGTAGTTTTTGTACTTTTTAAAAGCAACTCACAATGATAAGGGCTTTTCTATAAATACACTCCTCAAAAGTGAAATTGCAACACCAAGAAATAATGCACGTAGCGTCATGCAAATTTCAGGAGCGATAGTAGTGAGGAGATGGATATGCAAATGATTAAAAAAACAGACTAATAAAATCATTATAAAGCAATTTATTCAATATCTAATGTGGCCACCTCGGGCAGCTATACAGGCCTCAATCCGGCGAGGCAAGCTATCAATGACTCCATTGATGGTTGCCTGAGGTAACCTTTGCCAAGTCACATCCACCGCTGTGCGCAGATAATCGATGGTTTGCGCCATTGGTCCTCTGTTCATGCCACGTCCAATGAGATCCCATAGGTGTTCTATGGGATTCAGATCTGGAGAGGCTGCCGGCCAAGGAAAGGATGTCAAATCCAGTCAGGCTGTTAAGAGTTCGCCGTGCGACATGCGGCCTGGCATTGTCTTGCTGCAATACCGTGTTGGGTGCGCCCTGCAACAAGGGCAGAACAACGGGATTCACAACTTGTGTGACGTAGCGGTCCGTTGTCAAACTGCCGTGAATGTGTACCAGGGGCGTTCTGCGATCAAACATTATGCCACCCCAAACCATGATGCCCGGTGTAGGACCGTTGTGACGCTCGGCGTAATGGGCTGGTTCGTAGCATTCTCCGGATCGCCGCCATACCCGTCGACGGCCTTCATTTCTCCACAGACAGAAACGAGATTCATCCGTGAACAATACCCGATGCCATTGGATGGTCCAGGTACGATGACGATGACACCACGCCAGGCGTCTGTTGAGAAATGTAGATGTAAATTTAATTAATTTGAAATCTCCCCACCAGAGGGCTGATAGTCAGTCTACATTGAACCACCAAGCAGTAAGCATTGGCTTGAATTAATTGTCTTCTAATATAACTTTATAATCTGAAGGGTTCCACCCTAATAATATGGAACGTTGTTTTGTTTAAATAAATATTTGTTATTGTTTTCGATATTGATTGCCCTACCTTCTTGTACATGGTGCAATAGGCCACGGGAAGTATTTTACGAACTAGAGGAATTTAAAGCAAGAGAAAATAAAGTGTTATTTTTAATTTCAAGGGCAAAATCGAAAATGACAGTTAACGATACATGATCACTTCAAGGAGACAGCTAGTCTAATTCTTTGTATGTGCAAAGTAAGCGTTTTTATATCTTTCTTTGTTGAAGAATTCGTTTTCGTTTTGAGGTTTTGATTATTGAAAATTTATTGTTTTTTT